CCCTAGCCTGGATCGCAGAGAATTATTGGATAGAGGGATCCCAGGCAGGTGGGACTAAAACAGGAGGTGAAGTGAGTATGTCTATTCTAAGTCCCCCACCCCGACCCCACTCGGCTCCCTGAGCCCTGGCGGCCACGCCTACTCCCTCCACAGTGGAGATTATAGGAAACTTCTCTGGGGAAAACGGCTGGTCCTCTGAGAAATAAGAGAAGGTGATACAGGCATTAAATATGAACAAAAATGCCGCTCGATATGTGAGTATGAATATTCATGTATGTATAAATATTCAGTGAACATTCATGTATGTATAAATATTCAGTGAACAGAAAAGCTCTGGGAAATGAAAAATACCATGGAAATAAGAAGCTGCACAAAAGTGTTAGAAGATAAAGCTAAGAAAATGTTTCGGGAACCGGAATAAAAAGAAAACAGGCTGGGTGCGGGGGCTCATAGCTGTAATCCCAGCACTTGGGGAGGCTGAGGCAGTGGATCACTTGAGGTCAGGAGTTCGAGACCAGTCTGGCCAATGTGGTAAAACCCCATCTCTACTAAAGATACAAAAATTAATCATGCATGGTGGCGGGCACCTGTAATCCTGGCTACTTGAGAGCTGAGGCAGGAAAATCGGGAGGCAGAGGCTACAGTGAGCCGAGATCATGCCACTGCACTCCAGCCTGAGCAACAGAGTCACTCCATCTCAAAAAAAAAAAAAAAAAAGACAAAAACAGGAACCGGTCCAGTGTGGTGGCTCACACCTGTAATCCAAGCACTTTGGAGGCCAAGGTGGGCGGATCACCTGAGGTCAGGAGTTCAAGACCAGCCTGCCCAACATGGTGAAGCCCCATCTTAAAAAAAAAAAAAAAAAAGAAAGAAAGAAAGAAAAAACAGAACCAAAAGAACAGAATATTAGAGAACCTGTTTACAGAAAGGGAGGAGGAGAAAAGAGGGGAGAGAACCCAATAATTAATTCAAGAAAATTCCCCAGATTGAGAAGAGCGTTTCTTTCTTTCTTTCTTTTATTTTTTGAAGCATATGTTTGCACTTTTTCTTCAGGCTGGAGTGCAATGGCAAGATCTCGGCTCACTGCAACCTCCGCTTCCTGGGTTCAAGTGATTCTCCTGCCTCAGCCTCCCAAGTAGCTGGGATTACAGGTGCCTGCCACCAGGCCTGGCTAATTTTGTATTTTTAGTAGAGACAGGGTTTCTCTATGTTGGTCAGGCTGGTCTCAGCCTCACAAAGTGCTGGCATTACAGGTGTGAGCCACTATGCCTGTACTCCAGGCTGGGCAACAGCTGGGTATTTCTTGATTGAAAGGGCTCCTAGAATCCCAGGACAGAGGATGCAAAAAAGGCCCACATCAAAGTACCTCATAGTGGCTGGGCGACGTGGTGCGTGGCTGGGCGACGTGGTGCATGCCTGTCATCCCAGTGCTTTGGGAGGCTCAGGTGGGAGGATCCCTTGAGCCCAGGAGTTCGGGACTAGCCTGGGGAACATATTGAGACCCTGTCTCTTGAAAAAAGAATGAGGGTAGCAAGAGAATTCAAAACAGCTGTTCACACAAAAAGTTGTCCTAGTAGGTCAGGCGCGGTGGCTCATGCCTGTCATCCCAGCTCTTTGGGAGGCAGAGGCAGGCAGATTGCTTGAACTCAGGAGTTTGTAACCCAGCCTGGGCAATATGGCGAAAACTCCATCTGTACCAAAAATAAAAGTGAAAAAAAAAATACAAGAATATTCATAGCAACGTTATTCATAATGGCCAGAAAGTGGAAACAACCCTGCTGTCCATCAACAGATGAACTAGACAAGCAGAATGTGGTCTGCCCATACCATGAGTGCCGTTTGGCCATAAAAAGAATGGGATGCTGATACCTGCTGCAGTATGATTGGACCTCGAAAGCATGACGCCAAGTCAGAGAAGCCAGACAGAAATATGTGATGTTCTATGAATCCATTTCTTTTTCGTTCTTTTTTTTTTTTTTTTTTTTGAGATAAAGTCTTGCTCTGTCGCCCAGGCTGGAATGCACCCGCATGATCTCAGCTCACTGCAACCTCTGCCTCCCAGGTTCTCCAGACTCAGCCTCCCGAGTAGCTGTGATGACAGGTGTGCACCACCACGCCTGGCTAATTTTTTGTATTTTTAATAAAGATGGGGTTTCACCATGTTGGACAGGCTGGTCTCGAGCTCCTGACCTCAGGTGATCCATCTGCGTCGGCCTCCCAAAGTGCTGGGATCACAGGCGTGAGCCACCACGCACAGCCGTGTGATTGCATTTCTATGAAGTGTCCAGAATAGGCTAGAAATAGACTAACGGTTGTCAGGGGCTGCCAGGAAGATGGAATAGGATGTGATTTCTCTTTGGGACGACGGTTCTGGAAATAGATAATGGCAATGATAGTGAATGTACTAAAAGCTGAGGAATTCCGTTTTAATTTTTATTTTTTGAGACTGAGTCTCGCCCTGCTGTCCAGGCTGCAGTGCAGTGGTGCAATCTCAGCTCACACTAACCTCCGCCTCCTGGGTTCAAGCAATTTTCACGTCTCGGCCTTCCAAGCAGCGGGGATTATAAGTGCCACCATGCCCAGCTATTTTTGTATTTTTAGTAGAGATGGTGTTTCACCATGTTGCCCAGGCTGGCCTCAAATTCCTGAGCTCAGGTGATCCACCCACCTTGGCCTCCCAAAGTGCTGGGATTACAGGCGTGAGCCATTGTGCTCGGCTTATATGTTTATTTTTTATTGTTGTGTTTCATTTTAATTTTTGTAGAGTTGAAGGGTCTCACTGTATTGCTCAGGCTGGTCTCAAAGTTCTGGCCTCAAGTGATCCCCCGACCTCAGCTTCCCAAAACAGGCATGATTACCAGCGTGAGCCACTGTGTTTGGCCCTGTATTTTTTTAAATGGCTAAAATGGTAAATTTTACATTATGTGAATTTATGCCTTCATTTAAAAAGAGGCCAGGCGCAGTGGCTCACGCCTGCAATCCCAGCACTTTGGGAGGCCGAGGCGGGCGGATCACAAGGCTCAAACATTTGAGACCAGCCTGGACAACATGGTGAAACCCTGTCTCTACTAAAAATACAAAAAAATTAGCTGAGCGTAGCGGTGTGTGCCTGTAATCCCAGCTACTCGGGAGGCTGAGGCAGGAGAATCGCTTGAACCTGGAAGGTGGAGGTTGCAGGGAGCTGAGATAGCGCCATCATACGCCAGCCTGGGCAACAGAGCGAGTCTTCGTCTCAAAATAAATAAATAAATATAAACAAAAATAAAAGACTAGGGAGACAATCATCAAAGATAGTTATTTATGGGGAAAAAAGTTTTCCTGGAAAGGAGAAGTATCTGCAATGCATCATCCTCATCTATGAGTACTGTGTACTGAGTCATAGTACTGTAAGCCTGGAGCCAAATCAAAATTTAGATATGGAATACAAAGATTAGCTGGGTGTGGTGGTACGCACCTGTAATCCCAGCTACTCAGGAGGCTGAGGCAGCAGAATCAACACTGTCTCAAGAAAAAAGAAATTAGGCTGGACACAGTGGCTCATGCCTGTAATCCCAGCACTTTGGGAGGCCGAGGCAGGCGATCATGAGGTCAGGAGTTCGAGACCAACATGGTGAAACCCTGTCTCTACTAAAAATACAGAAGTTAGCCAGGTGTGGTGGCTCACGTCTGTAATCCCAGCACTTTGGGAGGCCGAGGTGGGCGGATCACGAGGTCAAGAGTTTGAGACCAACACGGTGAAACCCTGTTTCTACTAAAAATACAAAAGTTAGCCAGGCATGGTGGCATGCGCCTGTAATCCCAGCTATGCAGGAGGCTGAGGCAAGAGAATTGCTTGAACCTGGGAGGCAGAGGTTGCAGTGAGCTGAGATCGTGCATCATGCCACTGCACTCCAGCCTGGATAACAGAGCAAGACTCCATCTCAAAAAATGAAAAAAAATTTAGATATGGACCAGGTGTGGTGATTCACACCTATAAAATTCCAGCTCTTTGGGAGACTGAGGCAGGAGGATTGTTTAAGGCTAGGAGTTTGAGACCAGCCTGGGCAACATAGCAAGATCCTGTGTCTACAAAGAAGTTCTAAAAACTTAGCTGGGTATGGTGGCACACACCTATAGTCCCAGCTACTGAGGAGGCTGACGTGGGAGGATTGCTTAAGCCCAAGAGTTCGAGGCTGCAGTGAGCTATGATTGTGCCGCTGCACTCCGGCCTGGGCAACAGAGCAAGACCCTATCTCAAAAACAAAAAGAAAAGAACAACACTAGAAAACAACAACAAAAAAAAGAAAGGCTGATTTTAGGGTTAACGTTTATCAAAGCTCTGGGATATACTGGACACCATATATACAGTACTTAATTCTCATGAAAACTCTTTTTTTTTTTTTTTCCTTTGAGCCAGAGCCTTGCTCTGTTGCCCAGGCTGTAGTGCACTGGCACAATCTCAGCTCTCTACAACCTCTGCCTTCTGTATTGAAACGATTCTCCTGCCTCAGCCTCCTAAGTAGCTGGGATTACAGGTGCCCACCACCAGGCCCAGCAAATTTTTGTATTTTTAGTAGAGACAGGTTTCACCATGTTGGCCAGGCTGGTCTTGAACTCCTGACCTCAGGTGATCCACCTGCCTCGGCCTCCCAAAGCGCTGGGATTACAGGCGTGAGCCACCACACCCAGCCACGTAAACCCTTTTTAGAGATGAAGATGCTGAGGCTCAGAGAGGTTAGGTAACTTGCCTAGGTGCACACAGCTTCTAAGTGGCAGAGTTTGAATGCAGGTCTGCGTGTCTGTCTCCAAAGCCTGTGCTCTTGCCTGGGTCGGCCCTGGGAGGCACTGGTTAACCTGTCTCCGTCTCAGTCACCTTGGGTGTCTCCCCCTCCCCTACTCCTGCCTCCCATGTCCTCTGCATCCTGGAAGGGATGGATGGGATAAGCCTGGGCTGAGTACCCCTGCCATCTCTGCCTCTGCCGCTGCATCCTCTGGACCTGAGTCTCCCTGTGTGCCGACAGGTCGGCGGGACGAAGACTGGTGTGGTGCGGTACGTGGGGGAGACAGACTTTGCCAAGGGCGAGTGGTGTGGCGTGGAGCTGGATGAGCCACTTGGGAAGAATGACGGGGCAGTGGCAGGCACCAGGTATGGAGGGTTTCTTCTGGGGAGCATGGGAGGGGGCTCCTCTCCCCAGGGTGGGCGCAGGGGATGGAGATGGGACATTGGAGGAAGCCAGTGTCTGTAATATAAGTCCTTTCCCGTTCCCTCCTTCCCAACAGCCCACTAAGGTGGGTAGTGGGATTATCATCCCATTTTACGGATGAGAGTATGGAGGCCAGAGAGGTCATTGTTCAAGGTCGCAGTCACAGGCAAGCACCAAGAGAATCTGTCCCCAGGCTCTCATCTTCATGTCACTCATGGCTAAGTGGGGTGGGAGCCCTCAAAAAGGAGAGGGAGGCTGGGCGCGGTGGCTCATGCCTGTAATCCCAGTACTTTTAGAGACTGAGGTAGGTGGATACCTTGAGGTCAAGAGTTTGAGACCAGCCTGGCCAGCACAGTGAAACTCTGTCTCTACTAAAAATATAAAAAATTAGCTGGGCATGGTGGTGCCCACCTGTAATTGCAGAACCTGGGTGGCTGAGGCATGAGAACCACTTGAACTGGGAGGCATAGGTTGCAGTGAGACGAGATCACACCATTACACTTCAACCTGGGTGACAAAGTGAGACTCTATCTCAAAAAAATTAGCCAGGCATGGTGGTGTGCACCTGTAGTACCAGCTACCTGGGAGGCTGAGGCATGAGAATTGCTGGAACCCGGGAGGCAGAGGTTGCAGTGAGCCGAGTTCGTGCCACTCTGTCATTCCAGCCTGGGTGACAGAGCAAGACTCTGTCTCCAAAAAAAAAAGGAGAGGCAGCAGTCCCTGCCATCTGGCGTTGGGGTCCCCTGAATGACACATGAAATAATCAGACAGTGCTCAGCCCTGTATGGCCAAAGGCAGACCTCACAGATGGGTTCCAGGTCTCACATCATCTCTGATGGAATTGACTGCTGGCATTGCTGGGTTAGGAGGGTCTGAGGCTATGTGTGGGCTTGTGGTGGGTGGGGGAGTGTTGTGGCAAGCGGACCACGTCTGTCATGGGTGTGGACTACGGTGAGACCACCTGAGTGCCTGTGCAGTCCCTGGCTGGATTCTGTGGTTGAGATGAGGCTGTGACTGCTCTGAGCAGGAGTGGTCACCAAGGCACGGGGAGGAGCCAGGCTTGGGCCAGGCCTTGAAGGAAGGTAGGGTTTCCTTTTGGAAGAGGCTCGAGAGGGGTTATGTTAGGCAGGGGCTGGGAGGATAGGATGAACAAAGACCTGGAGGTGGGAAAAGGGAGGATGGGGCAGCAGTTTCAAGGAGAATCAGAAGCTGGACGGGGGCCAGGCATGGTGACTCACGTCTGTAATCCCAGCACTATGGGAGGCTGAGGCTGGAGGATCACTGGAAGCCAGGAGTTCAGGACTAGCCTGAGCAACATAGCAAAACCCCGTCTCTAGAAAAGGTACAGAAATTAGCCCGGTGTGGTGGCACACACCTGTAGTTTCAGGTGCTTGGGAGGCTGAGGTGGGAGGATTGCATGAACCCAGAAGGTGGAGGCTGCAGTGAGCTACGATCATGGCACTGCACTCCAGCCCACGTGACAGAGCGAGACTCTGGAGAGAGAGAGAGAGAGAGAAAAGAAAGGAGAGAGACAGAATTAAAGAGAGAGAAAGAGGAAGAAAAGAAAGAGAGAAAAGAAATGAAACTGGATGATCCCACTTCTCGTGGTCCAGTGTAGAATCTATGACCAGAGAGGTTTTGAGAGAAGAAGAGAACCCGGGGTTCCCATGGCAGTGTTTGCCTTCCTGTTTGCAAGATGAATGTTTCTCTTGGCTCACTTTTGCTTTCAGAATTCAGGGGCTGGTTGGACAGCAGCCCCCACCCCACCCCAAGGTGTCTCTTTCAAGATTTTTCTTCTCCATACAGGGACTCTGTGGGCAGAGAGCTGATGGGATTCTTTCATTCTAGGGGTGGTCTGAGGGTGGCCTGAGAGTGATGCTGCAGCTGTGGCTGGGGTCTCTGAACAGTCTGTGGGAGCCAAGCTTGGTGGGTTTCAGAGCCCAGCAAACTGGAGATCCAGTCCCAGCTTAGCCACGTAACCAGCTCTGTGACTGTGGGCGAGCTACTTAACCTCTCTGAGCCTAATTTTCTCATTTGTGAATGTAGTTAACTTTGGGGAATGGAGATGAACATTCGGCACAAAGTGGGTCCCAGTAATTATTTCCTACTTCCAAGAGTATCTTCATTGGCTGTTCATAGCTGCAGAGACTCTTGAGACCCTACTCACCCCTATCCTCTTTGTGAGAGTCCTATCCGTCCATCTGGAAGATTTCCACCTTGGAGTGTCTTTCCAGATGGGCCCTGAGGAGGTGTCTTTCTGTCTTTGTGTCTGGCACTGAAGAGGCAGAGGAGGGAGGGGAGGCTCCAGGCTGTGGGCTGTGACAGCAGCGTGGGTCTCTCTTGCTTCCACAGGTACTTCCAGTGCCCACCCAAATTTGGTCTCTTTGCACCCATCCACAAGGTGATCCGTATCGGCTTCCCATCTACCAGCCCAGCCAAGGCCAAGAAGACCAAGCGTATGGCCATGGGTGTGTCAGCACTGACCCACAGTCCCAGCAGCTCCTCCATCAGCTCCGTCAGCTCTGTGGCCTCCTCCGTGGGGGGCCGGCCCAGCCGCAGTGGCCTGGTGAGGGTGGGGCTGCAGAAGGGGGTTCTCTGGTGTGCATTTTGGGAGGGGGGAGGATGTATAGAGATCCAGCTGTCCTGGTCTGCCCCTGACTTACAGTTCCAGTTTTGGATTTTTGAACAAAGATGAAAGTGCATGTCTTTTAATAGGGAAGATTGAGCCATTTATGTTTATTGTTATTTTTAGATAAGTGATTTATTTAGCCTGAGCCTTTCTCTGGAAGTTAAGGAGGGTTATACAGATGCAGGGCAGGGGGTCCAGAAAGATTGACATTGGCCCCTGGATGAAGGGAAAAGAGGAGGCTGCTCAGTTTCTATGGGCAGAGTGCCTTCTGCCCAAACCCAATCTAGCGTTGGAGGTTCCTCCTGCTTTGGGAAAAAAAGAATCTGCCTCAGGAAAAAAAGGGGCCAAAGTGAGGGAGTCAGAGGCTCTGGCTATCAGGAGCTGACTCTCCTGAGATGGGGAGTTTCCTGAATCTCAAACATTAGGATTCCCCCCTGGGTGAGACAGCAGAGGACAGGATGTCAGAGTACTGGGAGGGGAAGAGCAGGACCCTGGGGGTCAGGGCACTTGGGGCCCCACCTGCTGGGTTGCTTTAGGTTAGGGGGGACAGAGCCAGCCTACCCTGCAGTGCTTCAGATCCCTGAGACCCGCCTGCACCCATGCCTTCCTGCAGCTCACGGAGACCTCCTCACGCTACGCCCGAAAGATCTCAGGCACCACGGCCTTGCAGGAGGCACTGAAGGAGAAGCAGCAGCACATTGAGCAGTTGCTGGCCGAACGAGACCTGGAGCGGGCCGAGGTGGCCAAGGCCACGAGCCACATCTGTGAGGTGGAGAAAGAGATCGCCCTGCTCAAGGCACAGCATGAGCAGGTGGGTGGCAGGTGGGGCTGGGGGCGGCCCTTCTCCAGCAAGCCTCATAGAGTCTCACCCACCCAGAGCAGAGACCGTGGGGGGTGGGTACAGAGGAATATGAAGATAACACAAGCAGTCCCCGTCCCCCACTCTCCAGAGATAAGCCTCAGTGACCTGGTGAATTTCCTTCCAGTCTTTTCTGCCTGTGTATAAGGATATGTACACCTACTTTCAGAATCTGGCTATAAACTTATATATTCTCCTATTTTATTATTTATTTATTTATTTTTAGATAGAGTCTTGCTCTGTCACCCAGGCTGGAGTACAGTGGTGTAATTTTGGCTCACTGCAACTTCCACCCCCCGGGTTCAAGTGATTGTCGTACCTGAGCCTCCTGAGTAGCTGGGATTACAGGTGCCTGCCCCCAAACCCAGCTAATTTTCGTGTTTTTAGTATAGATAGAGTTTCACCATGTTGCCCAGGCTGGTCTTGAACTCCTGACCTCAAGTGATCTGCCCGCCTCAGCCTCCCAAAGTGCTGGGGTTACAGGGGAGGCACCATGCTCGGTCCTGCTTTTTTATTTTTTTTTAAGTATTTTTGTTGTTGTTGTTGAGACAGAGTTTCGCTCTTGTTACCCAGGCTGGAGTACAATGGCGCGATCTCGGCTCACCGCAACCTCCGCCTCCTGGGTTCAGGCAATGCTCCTGCCTCAGCTTCCTGAGTAGCTGGGATTACAGGCACGCACCACCATGCCCAACTAATTTTTGTATTTTTAGTAGAGACGGGGTTTCACCATGTTGACCAGGATGGTCTCGATCTCTTGACCTCGTGATCCACCCACCTTGGCCTCCCAAAGTGCTGGGATTACAGGCGTGAGCCACCTTGAGATCTTGCTATGTTGGCCACGCTGGTCTCGAACTGCTGGCCTCAAGCAATCTTGACTTTCCAAAGTGCTGCCTGCTTCCCACCCCGCCCCCGCCCGCCCCCACTTACCACCATACTGCAAGCATTTTCTAGGTTCAGGAAAATTCTTCATCATCCTTTTATTTTATTTATTTATTTTTAATAGGGCCTTGCTTTGCCGCCCCAAGTGATCCTCCCACCTCAGCCTCCTGAGTAGCTGGGACCACAGGTGCACGTTACCATGCCCAGCTAAGTTTTGTATTTTTTATGGAGATGGGGTCTTACTATGTTACCCAGGCTAGCCTGAAACTCCTGGCCTCAAGTGACCCTCCCACCTTGGTCTCTCAAAAAGCACTGCAATTACAGGCATGAGCCACTGTGCCCCACGTCTTCCCTGTCATGATGGCTGCATTGCTGTCTATCCCAGGTGGTGTCCTTACTGATATCTGATGTGACTAGTCCTCTGCTGTTTAGATTATTTCCAATTTTTCACTTTTTTTTTTTTTTTTTTTTTTGAGACGGAGTCTCGCTCTGTCACTCAGGCTGTAGTGTACTGATGCGATCTCGGCTCACTGCACCTCTGCCTCCCGGATTCAAGTGATTCTGTCTCAGTCTTCTTAGTAGCTGGGATTACAGGTGTGTGACACGACACCCAGCTAATCTAATTTTGTATTCTTAGTAGAGACGGGGTTTCACCATGTTGGCCAGGCTGGTCTCGAACTCCTGGCCTCGAGTGCTCTGCCCACCTCAGCCTCCCAAAAGGCTGGGATTACAGGCATGAGCCACTGCGCCAGGCCAATTTTTCAGTCTTTCTACATATCGCTGTAGTAAATATTTTTTTTACGGCCGGGCGCAGTGGCTCACACCTGTAATCCTAGCACTTTGGGAGGCCAGGGCGGGCGGATCACGAGGTTAAGAGATGGAGACCATCCTGGCTAACGCAGTGAAACCTGTCTCCACTAAAAATACAAAAAATGAGCCGGGTGTGGTGGCACGTGCCTGTAGTCCTGGCTACCTAGGAGGCTAAGGCAGGATAATCACTTGAACCCGGGAGGCAGAGGTTGCAGTGAGCCAAGGTCACGCCACTGCACTCCAGCCTGGGTGGCAGACCGAGACTCTGTCTCAAAAAAAAAACTTATTTATACATGACTGTCTGTACATTTCAGATTATTCTTTTGAGCAGATTCCAGGGTCCGATTTCAGGGAAGTGACTCCTTGCTTCGAGCTTGGTCTGCTGCTGTCTCGTGTCTTTTTTTCTCTGATACTTGTTTCTGGTGGGAGAGCTCCCTCCTGGGCCTCTGTCCCCATCTGGGGTCTGGCTTGCCCCCGCTTGGACACCAGGATCAATAAGGCCAAGTTCATGGCTGTGCTTTGATGAGGCACAGTCAAGACAAGAGGTTAGCAAGATAACAGGTCTTAGGTCCTGGTGGGTTGAGGGGGGTGGCAGGTGCTGAGGGCATGTGGGCCTGAGGGTCCTGCCTCTGCCTCTCCTGTTCCTGCTGGGTCCCCTCCTTCATACCCAGACCCACTGTGCATGCCCCACAGAGGCCACCAGGTAGAGACGGGGTGACTGGGGTTCCAGCCCCAGCTGCTCATCTCTCTCCCACCACACCCCAACCTGGACCCCACACCCCAGAGCATGCTGACCATGTCCTGGCCCTTTCCTGGGGGCCCAGTATGTTGCAGAAGCCGAGGAGAAGCTGCAGCGAGCCCGGCTGCTGGTGGACAGCGTGAGGAAAGAGAAGGTGGACTTGTCCAACCAGCTGGAGGAGGAGAGGAGGTACGTGCCAGCCCACCATGAGCTCTTGGGCCTCAGTCTTCCCATCTGTAAAGTGGGATGCTGGTCCTGTCTTCTGCAGGCAGCTGAGAAAAGTCATATAACTGGAGTAGAGGACCCAACACAGTGCCGGGCACACAGGGACACCACATTTTTAAACTTTTTTTGAAACAGAGTCTCGCTCTGTCACCCAGGCTGGAGTACAGTCTTGACCTCCGGGTTCAAGCAATCCTCCCACCTCAGGTTCCTAAGTAGCTGGGACCACAGGTGTGCCCCACCACAGCTGGCTAACTTTTTTATTTTTTGTAGAGATGGGGTTTCGGCACGTTGGCCAGGCTGGTCTTGAACTCCTGACCTCGAGCTATCCACCCACCTCAGCCTCCCAAAGTGCAGGCATGAATCGTCGTGCCCGGCCTTGGAACACCACAGTTGCTCATTGCACAGAGGTCACTGTTCCTGCTCTCTCTGGCAGAACATTGAGAAGATAATAGCTGGGGGTGGTGGAAGGGAGGGAGGTTGGTTATCACAGCAGGTGTCCCTGGGGAGAAGGCCTAACGCCCCACCCCTCCACTGTGAGCCAGTTCACACTCACAGTGTGCCCCGCCCCCACCCTGGGCCGAGACCCATGAGTAGTGCTCATGTCACCGTGTCCTGGGACTCCACTTCCCTCCCCTTCCCTCCCTTCAGATGGAGTCTCACTTTTATTGCCCAGGCTGGAGTACAATGATGCGATCTCGGCTCACTGTAATCTCCAGCTCTTCGGTTTGAGTGATTCTCCCGCCTCAGCCTCCCAAAGTAGCTGGGATTACAGACACATGCCACAGTGCCAGCTAATTTGGTTTTGTTTTGAGATGGAGTTTCACTCTTGTCACCCAGGCTGGAGTGCAATGGCGTGATCTCGGCTCACCGAAACCTCTTCCTCCCGGGTTCAAGCGATTCTCCTGCCTCAGCCCTCACCGAATAGCTGGGATTACAGGCATGAGCCACCACATCTGGCTAATTTTGTATTTTTAGTAGAGACAAGGTTTCTCCATGTTGGTCAGGCTGGTCTTGAACTCCCGACCTCAGGTGATCCGCCTGCCTTGACCTCCCAAAGTGCTGGGATTACAGGCGTGAGCCACCGCGCCCGGCCTCCTGTATTTATTTTCTCTTTTTGAGACAGGGTCTCACTCTGTCACCCAGGCTGGGGTGCGGCAGCCCGGCCACAGCTCACTGCAGCCTTAACCCTCCAGCTTCATGCAGTCCTCCCACCCCAGCCTCCCAGGTAGCTGGGACTGCAGGCACACGCTATCAAGCCCAGCTAATTTTTTGTATCCATTCCCATTTTACATACCAGGAAACTGAGGCTAAGAGAAATAGCAGCCAAGGGACTCCTGAAACCCCCTATGTCCAGGTGTCAGCCCCGTGCTGCATGCTTTGCTGGTATCATTGCTTTCAATGCCACAGCTGGCCAGGTGCGGTGGCTCACGCCTCTAATCCCAGCGCTTTGGGAGGCCGAGGCAGGAGGATCACCTGAGATCAGGAGTTTGAGACTGGCCTGGCCAACATGGAGAAACTCCGTCTCTACTGAAAATACAAAACTTGGCCAGGCATGGTGGCTCACACCTATGTTCCCAGCTACTTGGGAGCTGAAGTGGGAGAATTGCTTGAACCTGGGAGGTGGAGGTTGTAGTGAGCTGAGACCACACCAGTGCACTCCAGCCTGGGTGACAGAGTGAGACTCTGTCTCCAAAACCAAAAAGGCGGGTGGATCACCTGAGATGAGGAGTTTGAGACGGGCCTGGCCAATATGGTGAAACCTGTTGGTCTCTACCAAAAATACAAAAATTAGCTGGGCCTGGTTGTGGGCACCTCTAATCCCAGCAGCTCGGGGGGCTGAGGCAGGAGAATCACTTGAACCCGGGAGGTGGAGGTTGCAGTGAACCGAGATTGTGCCACTGCACTCCAGCCTGGGCAACAGTGAGACGCCACCTCAAAAGAAAAGACACAGGCCGTATCCATTTCCCCAGCAGTCTTCCAACCAAAGACACCAGGCGGGGACTCTGGCCAACTCAGCCCTGGGTCACCTGGTAGGACACGAAGCTGACAGCGGACAGAGGTTTGCTTTGGCCTGGGACCCTCTTTACCTCCTAGACGATGCCCGGACACCTACCTCTCCCTCCCCCGTCCACAGGCAGCAGCCAACCCCCATCCCCAGCACCCCCAACTGGGTCTGTTCGGCAGGCTTTCAGCTGGCACCTGTGCTCCAGAAGCTGTCGTTCCTGTCGGATTCGGGGAGATGAGGGCGTATTTATATCTGCCTGAGACAGCTGCACGGGCCCACACATCTGGTTCCCATGGCAACGTGCCTGATGCCAACAAACAAACACAGACTTTTTTTAAGACGGAGTCTCACTCTCTCCCCCAGGCTGGAGTGCAGTGGCGCGATCTTGGTTCACTGCAACTCCGCCTCCTGGGTTCAAGCAATTCTTCTGCCTCAGCCTCCCGAGTAGCTGTGATTACAGGCTCTCATCACCCTGCCCTGCTAATTTTTATATTTTTAGCAGAGACGGGGTTACGCCATGTTGCTCATGTTGGTCTCTATCTCCTGGACTCAAGTGATCTGCCCACCTCAGACTCCTAAAGTGCTGGGATTACAGGCATGAGGCACTGTGCTCAGCCACAAACACAGATCTTGAAGGCATCATGGAGTTGTGATCAGAAGGGGCCCAGGTGCGAGTCCCTGCCTTGCCCTGTGCTTGCTGTGTGGCTTCGGGCAGGTCACTTGCCCTCTCTGGGCCTCATTCCTCATTGCTATGCTGAGAGCTGTTAGGAGGACTCAGGGAGAGCAGCTTTGAGAGCTTATGTGTGCCTATACAGAGGGGTGGGCCTGCTTGTCTCCCCTGCGCTCTCTTGATAGGTGTGTGGCTGAGTGTGTCTCCCTAAGGCCGGCCCTGAAGGCCTGGACCTTCCACATCCAGAGGCAGCCTGGGAGTGGGGATTGGGACCCTGACCCCCAGTTTTGAGGCCTGTGATGAGAACGGGGTCAATAGCAACGGAAGCCACTTCCCTCCCCTCCTTTCCTTCCTCCCCAGGGCTTATTCCTCGTGGCATTGTCTGTTCCTTGCAGTGATGAAAACAGCGTAGTTGGCTGGGCACAGAGGCTCACGCCTGTCATCCCAGCACTTTGAGAGGCCAAGGCGGGTGGATCACTTGAGGCCAGGAGTTCGAGACCAGCCTGGCCAACATGGCAAAACCCCGTCTCTACTAAAAATACAAAAATTAGGGACAGGTGCGGTGGCTCACACCTGTCATCCCAGCAGTTTGGGAGGCTGAGGCAGGGGGATCTTGAGGTCAGCAGTTTGAAACCAGCCTGGCCAAAACAGTGAAACCCTGTCTCTACTAAAAATACAAAAATTAGCCAGGTATGGTGGCGGGCACCTGTAATCCCAGCTACTCGGATGCTGAGGCGGGAGAATTGCTTGAAACTGGGAGGTAGAGGTTGCAATGAGCGGAGACCACGCCATTGCACTCCAGCCTGGGTGACAGAGCGAGACTCTATCAAAAAAAAAAAAAAAAAATTAGCTGGGCATGGTGGTGTATGCCTATAACCCCAGCTACTCCAGAGGCTGAGGCAGGAGAATTGCTTGAACCTGGGAGGTGGAGGCGGAGGCAGAAGCTGCAGTGAGCCAAGATCATGCTACTTCACCCCAGTCTGGGCAACAGAGCCAGACTCTGTCTCAAAAGAAAGAAAAGAAGAGAAAAAAGAAAGAAACAAACAGAGAGAGAAGGAAGGAAGGAGGGAGGAAAGGAAGGAGGGAAGGAAGGAAGGAGGGAAGGAAGGAAGGAAGGAAGGAAGGAAGGAAGGAAGGAAGGAAGGAAGGAAGGAAGGAGAGAGGGAGGGAGGGAGGGAAGGAAGGGAAGAAAACACTGTTGTCACTCACATCCCTAGGCCACCCTGTCCTTTATTTTATGTCCCTCCACCCTGGGGAGGCAGAGTTGGTGGTTCTTCCTTGAGTGCAGGTCAGCAGGTTGGGAGGTCTAGAGCTTTCCAGGATGCTGTGCCTGGCTCAGCCACAGGACTCTGGGCAGGTCCCTGTTCTGCTGGGACGGTTCCCTCTGCATCGTCTGAGTGTGGACTCTGGGCCATCCTGTTGGCCTCACCTCTCTGCTGTTGCTCACTTGGTGAAGCCTGTGGCTCTGGGCAAAGCCAGGTCAGCCAGCTCTTTCCCTCTCCTGCAGGAAGGTGGAGGATCTGCAGTTCCGCGTGGAGGAGGAGTCCATCACCAAGGGAGACCTGGAGGTAACAGTCAGAGGCCCCTCCCCTGGGCACGCTCAAGCACCAGGCCGGCCCTTGCTAGTGCAGATGGTCGTGAGGTCTAGCAGCAACTCTGGCCCCCCTGGGGAAGGGACTGAGGGGGGATTAGGGAAAGATCAAAGGTGTAGTGGCAGAGGTGTGAGTGGCTCAGCCCGAGGAGCCTCCAGGGGGGCGGTGTTCCCCATGTCAGCAGCTGGCTGGGTTTGGCAGGGCAGATGGGAGGCCGGGCCCCAGGATGCAGTGGCTGAGGTCCTCTGTCCCTTCTTGGGCAGTAACCCTGAAGGTGCTCCTTTGTTCATCTTGGATTCCAGGTGAAGTTTTGGCTGAAAGTAGCTTGCCAAGTCACAGAATTTATAGGTAGGAAAACTGAGGCTCAGAGACCGAGGGAGCCAGGTGTGGTGGCTCACGCCTGTAATCCCAGCATTTCAGGAGGTCAAGGCAGGAGGATCACTTGAGCCCAGGAGTTCAAGACCAGCCTGGGCAATATAGCAAGACCCCACCTCTACAAAAAAGTTTTAAAAGTTAGCCGAGCATGGTTGTGTGCACCTGTGGTCCCAGCTACCCGGGGAGGCTGAGGCTGGAGGATTGCTTGAGTCTGGGAGATGGAGGCTGCAGTGAGCTACGATTGTGTCTGTTTTTGTTTTGTTTTGTTTTGAGACCGTCTCAAAAAAAAAAAAAGGATGTTGGGGCACAACCTGGTGCCAGAGCCTCAGCCCAGCTCAGCATGTTCTGATTACGTTTCCCTCTTAGCCAAGGGGAAGGCCACTTGGTTGCTCCTGGCTGACTTTTCTGTTGGCAGCTGCCCTCCTGCAGGGTTGGGTGGGCTTATGGGAAAAGCACCTGTGATTGACAGGAACAGAGACCCCGTGTGCCAGCTGCAGTCACCAAGGGGGCTTCCTGAAGGGCTGTAGGAAAATTCACAGCCCCCAAGGGCAGGCAGTTCAGGGGACTGGAGCCAGAAACAGCATCAGGAGGTAAGCCCATCCATATCCCCCTTGTTGAGGGTCCCCCTCCGGAGTGTGCCTAGGGTCACACAATGTTCCCCCCTCCCCCAGCTTCTCCTAGCCCCACCCACTACCTACCAGCCATCATCAAGGGAGGCTCTGATTGGTCCCAGGGGTAGCCAGTGGGCCGGCTGGCTCTGAATAGGGGTCCACCCGGGATCCAGTCGGCTGAGAGAGGCAGGGAGTGGGACAGACATTGACGGACAGAGATTGACAGACAGCTAAGTCAGTCCAAAGGGCTGCAAAATCCGCATATGACATTTTATTGTAACAAACTGAATTGTGATCATACTTATGGCAACCAGAAGGCAAAATGACCAAAGTCCCACTCATCCCTTTATCCCCACCCTTCTTTTTTTTTTTTTTTTTTTGCTTTTTTTTGGAGACTCACTCTATTGCCCAGACTGGAGTACAGTGGCATGATCTGGGCTCCACTTCCTGGGCTCAAGTGATGTTCTTGCCTCAGCCTCCCCAGTAGCTGGGACTGCAGGTGTGTGCCACCATATACGGCTAATTGTTTTTGGGCGGGGGGAGGCAGGTTCTTGCTATATTGTCTAGGTGGGTCTGAAACTCACTGAAACTCTTGGTTCAAGCAATCCTCGGCCTCCCAAAGGCTGGGATTACATGCATGAGCCATCACAACTGCCCCCCTCCATCTTAAAAGTCAAAAATAAAAACTAGAGCCCCTCCTTGACCTCCTGGTCCCCTCCAGGTTTATCACCCCACCTCTCTGCCTGTCTTCATTGCCTGGAAGCTAGGACAGACTCCTCAGGAGTTTCTCAGGCTCATGATCTTCCCTCCTGTCCACACTCCTCTAGCTACACAATGCGATGCCCCATTCCAACTCCCCAGCCTCTTCTGCTAGCATCTCCTTCCTGATCTCTGAACATTGGCCCATCCAAGGGCTCGGTCCCAGACTGTTCACCCGTTGTCCACACTCGCCCTGAGAGCTTCCAGTCTGCGGCCTCCATGCCTTGGATAAGCTCCCATGAGTTCCACAGTCCTCCCCAAGCTCCCTCAGCCATGCCCACTTGACATCTCCAACCAATTGAGGAAGAAATAAGCACCTGCATCGATTTCCTGGGGCTGCAGTGACACATGGCCAGAAATTTGTTGCTTAAAACAACAGACATAGGCCCTTGCAGTTCTGGAGGCCAGGAGTCTAAAGTCAAGGCCGGGCGTGGTGGCTCGCGCCTGTAATCCCTGCAACTTGGAAGGCAGAGGCGGGCGGATCACTTGAGGTCAGGAGTTCGAGACCAGCCCAGCCAACATGGTGAAACCCCATCTCTACCAAAAATACAAAATTAGCCAGACATGGACCTCAGGGTGGATCACCTGAGGTCAGGAGTTTGAGACCAGCCTGGCCAACATAGTGAAACCCTGTCTCTACTAAAGATACAAAAATTTAGCTGGGTGTGGTGGCAGGCCCCTATAATCCCAGCTGCTCTGGAGGCTGAGGCAGGAGAATCGCTTGAACCTGGGAGGCGGAGGTTGCAGTGAGCTGAGATCATGCCACTGCACTCCAGCCTAGGTGATAGGGCGAGACTCCGTCTCAAAAAAAAAAAATCCTCTTGACCTTGCCTTCAAAATAACACACATCCCCAGAGCTGCCTCCCTGGGCCAGGCCTCAGCACCGTGTCCTGGACAGCGCTCTGTTGCAGCTTCTGTTCCTCTGAAGTCCATTCTCCACACTGAATCTAGTCTTTTTTAAAATATCTTTTTCATTTTTAATGTTGGATATTTTTAAGCCTGTACAAAAATAGAGAAGACAGTGTAATGAACTTCCATTTCCCTGTCGCTCAGCTTCAAGAGTTACTAACTCACCGCTAGTCCTGTTTCAGCCAGGCCCTCACCCAGGACCTCCTCCCACATCCCAGACGTCCTATGGCCCAATCTTTTAAAAATGTACATCAGGCCAGGTGCGGTGGCTCATGCCTGCAATCCCAGCACTTGGGAGGTAGAGGTAGGAGGGTCACTCGAGGCCAGGAGTTAGAGACCAGACTGGGCAGCAAAGTGAGACCCCATCTCTGCAAAAATTAAAGTGTTCTAGCTAGACGCAGTGGCTCACACCTGTAATCCCAGCATTTTGGGAGGCCAAGGCGGGTGGATCACTTGAGGTCAGGAGATACAGACAAGCCTGGCCAAACCCCGTCTCTACTAAAAATACGAAAATTAGCCAGGAGTGGTGGCAGGCACCAGTAATCCCACCTACTCAGGAGACTGAGGCAGGAGAATCGCTTGAACCTGGAAGGTGGAGGTTGCAGTGAACCAAGATCGCACCACTGCACTCCAGCCAGGGCAACAGAGTGAGATTCTGTCTCAAAAAATAAGAAGAAACAAAGAAACCAAAATAAATAAAATAAATTCACAAGGCATGGTAGCACATGCTTGTGGTTGTAGCTACCTGGGAGGCTGAGGCAGGAGGATCCTTCCGAGCTCAGGTGGGCTACAGTGAGCTATAATGGCACCACTGCACTCCAGCCTGGGTGACAGAGCATGACCCCATCTCTAAAAATAAATAAATTTATATTTTTTTGAGATGGAGTTTTGCTCTTGTTGCCCAGGCTGGAGTGCAATGGTGCTATCTCAACTCACTGCAACCTCTACCTCCCGGGTTCAAGTGATTCTCCTGCCTCAGCCTCCCAAGAAGCTGGGATTACAGACATGCTCCACCACGCCTGGCTAATTTGGTATTTTTGGCAGAGATGGGGTTTCTCCATGTTGGTCAGGCTGGTTTCGAACTCCTGACCTCAGGTGATCTTCCCATCTTGGCCTCCCAAAGTGCTGGGATTACAGATGTGAGCCGCCGTGCCTGGTTATAAATAAAATTTTAAAAAATATGGCTAGGCACGGCGGCTCACACCTGTAGTCCCAGCACTTTGGGAGGCCAAGACAGGCAGATCATTTGAGGTCAGGAGTTCCAAACCAGCCTGGCCAACATGGCGAAACCCGATCTCTACTAAAAATACAAAAATCAGCCAGGCGTGATGGCGCCTGCCTGTAATCCCAGCTACTTGGGAGGCTGAGGCAGGAGACTCTCTTGAACCCAGGAGGTGGAGATTGCTGTGAATCAGCCTTGCACCACTGAACTCCAGCCTGGGGCAACAGAGCGAGACTCTGTCTCAAAAAGAAAAAAAAATTAAAATGGAAATCAGATCCTGCCTCTTTCCTGAAGCTCACACATCTAGCACCACTGCACTAGATATCATCTGGGCTCTGTAGAGTGAGCCGGAGAAAAGACCCCAGGGCCCAACCACCCTCCTCGTCCCAGCGCTGTCTCATACCCCTGCCCCTGTTATCATTCTCCAGGCTTGTCTCTGTTTCTGTAACACCACAAGCTGTGTCCTGCCTCTGAGCTTTTGTACATGCTGTTCCCCCCTCTTCCTCCCATGCCTGCTTTGTACGAGGAGTCCCTTCTTATCCTTCAGGACTCGTGTGAATTACTCGTTTCCTCTATTTCACCTTCATTCCAGCTACTCTCTCCCCAGTGCTCTCTGCTCACAGTGCAGATCACAATCTGAAATGCTCTTCACTATTCTTTTACGGTTTCCATCGTCCCCTCCCCACTCCAGAATATAGACTCTTTGAGGGGCTGGGCGCAGTGGCTCATGCCTGTTACCCCAGCACTTTGGGAAGCCAAGGCAGGTGGATCACCTGAGGTCAGGGGTTCGAGACCAGCCTGGCCAATGTGGTGAAACCCTGTCTCTACTAAAAATACAAAAATTAGCCCGGCATGGGGGTAGGCACCTATAGTCCCAGCTTCTCGGAAGGCTGAGGCTAGAGAATCTCTTGAACTCGGAGGTGCAGGTTGCAGTGAGCCAAGGTCACGCCATGGCACTCCAGCCTGGGTGAAAGAGGGAAACTCTATCTCAAAAAAAGAAAAGAAAAAAGAAAGTGAGGGAAGGAGTCCTTGGGGTGGGACCAAATGAAGTTGCGCTTGAAATTGGGAAGCCAGAGGCTTTTTCTTGCCTGTGCGGGCTACGAGTTCCACATGTATCATGAATCATCTATGAGGTTCCAGGCAGAGCTTTTGTGCCCACTAGTGGGGAGGTGAGGCTGGGGCTCTCTGCTAGGCTGGGACAGAGCTTGTGATTTTCTGGAAGAGACAGGCTGAGTTTTTGTTGTTACTGGAACACACTGCCAGGAAGGCAGGAGAGCGGGAGAGGAGAGAGAGAGGGAGGGAGGGAGACAGAGGGTAGAGACGGAGGGGGAGAGAGAAAAAAGAGGAGAAAGGCAGGAGGGAAAGAGGGAAAATGGAGAGAGAGAGAGGGGAAAAAGAGAGGGAAGGAGAGAGACAAGGAGGGGAAGAAAGGAGAGAAAAGAGAGAGGGAAGGGGAGGAGAGAGAGAGACCCTTTTTTGTTCTTGTTCCTTAAGGAAAATTCAAGAAATAAAATAGGCCAAAGGACGTAATCACCTCAGTGTCTTTTAATGACTCGCAGGAGCATTTCTCCTCAGGTGGTGTCCGTTCACACCTTCACCAAGTGAAGTTTCCGGGTTTTTACTCCAGGTTTCACACCTAGATGCTGTTTTGCTAGGCCCGCCCCTTCAGAACTGCCCTGCAGCTGATTAACCCCTTCTCTCCTGGAGAATAAAGAGCACCCTGTAGCGTCTCCCTAAGATGAACTTGGGTGTTCAACCGGCCCTGAAAGTCCGCACCCTCCCCGGCTTCCCTTCCAAGATCTGCTCTGGGAAATGCCAGCCTTGACACCCTGAGAATGCTGGTCTTTGTCAGCGGATGAAGCGGATATTGTCAGACTGGGACAAAAGTGCCCTTGTGATTTTTGGAGACCAGGCGTCCTCTGTGGGGTCTGGGGGGTGGGCACCGATGGGGCCCGGTGGTGGGAGGCACAGCCCAAGCCTCCCTCGAGAAGGCTGGGGCCTAGAGAATCGGGAGGGGGCGGGTATATTTTGGAAACAGCTTTTGCATTTCAGGTTCTTGCACCTTTAGCACAGGCCTGGGGAGAGTGGATCGGGAATCCTGGGGTCCTTTATTTATTCCTCATCCTGAGGGGGTCTCCTATGCGCAGAATGCTTTGCCTAAGACCAGTGACAGCCGGCAGGGGGGCAGGGGAACGGGAACAGGATGGGCCCCTCCCCAGGTGAAGGGCTGCTGGTTGGGGGTGGAGGGGCAACAGAAAAGAAGTGAGGTGGCCATTGCTACCCCAAGCAGGTGCCAGCGAGGGAGGACGGCTGCAGCCTCCCCGCTGCCCTACACAGACCCAGGTGGGACACCGAGAGGGGTGGGGTCAGGTCCCACGCCCATGGCTCCCCAGACTTACTCTCTTTCCCTGAGCAATTCTGGCTCATGAATCTGCTCTCCTCGCCTTGTTCACGGAAGATGACGCCTCCTCTCTTTCTCTCTCTCTCCTTCTCTCTTTCTCCGGCTTCTTCTTCCCTGTGCCCCCCTCCCTGCGTCCCCGCCCCCACCCCACCATGTCCACCCTGGGTGGACCAGACCCAGACGCAGCTGGAGCACGCGCGCATTGGGGAGCTGGAACAGAGCCTGCTACTGGAGAAGGCGCAGGCCGAGCGGCTGCTCCGAGAATTAGCGGACAACAGGGTAACCGTGCCACCGCGCCTGCCTGGCCCGCCTGCCACCCTGCCCTCTGATGCCCCCTCCGGCTTCTCTGTTTCATTATTGACTTTCTGTAGCTGCTGTCATCTTTTGTTTTCTTTTGTACCCCCTTGGAGGAGAAAGGTCAAGATTTAGAAATGTGCTCGTGCAGCCGGGCGCTCACGCCTGTGATCCCAGCACTTTGGGAGGCTGAGGTGGGTGGATTGCCTGAGGTCAGAAGTTCGAGACCAGCCTGGCCAACATGGTGAAACCCTGTCTCTACTAAAAATATAAAAATTAGCCGGGTGTGGTGGCTCATGCCTGTGATTCCAGCTACTTGGGAGGCTGAGGCAGGAGAATTGCTTGAACCCGGGGCTGGAGGTTGCAGTGAGCCGAGATCCTGCCACTGCACGGTCTGCCCCGGTGACAGACCAAGACTCCGCCTCAAAAACAAACCAGGAAAAAGAAATGTGCTTATATTCCCTGGCTAAGTGTTGCTCACTGGGGTGGAGTTGGGGGCGGGGGTGGTCTATTTTTTGGGACTTGGCTCCCCAGCTCATGGCCCCAGGAGTTGAGGAGGTCCTGTGAGACCGCCCCATATGCATTGCCACAACAAAGTTTTGGGGCCCTTGGGAATGTCCTGCCCCTAGTGCCTGTCCTGTAGGCAGACCCAGAAACTACAGATCCATGCTTCCTGTCTCCCCAGCTGAGGAGGCTGGGGAGAGGAAGGAGGCAGGGAACTGCAAATCCCTTCCCGGCTTCTCTGGCCCAGGGAGCCTGAAACATGGGGGCAGGAGAGGCCGGCCTGAAGGCCCTCAGGCTGAGGAAGTGGTGGGGCCTTTTCGGGAGTGGAGGTGTCCCCAGGAAATGGGACTGTGATGGGTCCCGGAGCCATGGAACAGCTGCGCTTGTGGGTGAGGCTTCCAGAGTACAGGACGTGTTTCCGAGTCCCTGTTCTGGGCCCAGCAGTCTCCTCCAGGTTTACCATGCATGCCGGGGTCCAGCACTCACATCCAAACAGCCAGCTGGGGCCCCCAGCAGTTCCCCTGGGAGGAAGCTGAAACAGGCACCTAGGAAAAGCACCGTAGTAAACAGCGTGTAGGTGTGGAAGGAGCAGTGGTCAGTTTCTGCACGGTGGCCTCAGTGCACAAGTGGCTGTGTGCATGTGTCCAGAGACACACAGGGTCCATTTGCACACACTGGCCATTGCCCAGTGACCACGTGCTTGTACAGTACACACTCACGTGCATGAAGACCGGACGCACAAACTGACCCAGTCACTGTGGACGGGCTAGAGCCCTCCAGATGCATCCTTTCCTGGTCTAGAGTTCAACCTGATGAAGACACAAAGAGCTGGGCGCGGTGGCTCACAGCTGTAACCCCAGCACTTTGGGAGGCCAAGGCGGGTGGATGACCTGGGGTTATATGAGGTCAGTAGTTCGAGACCAGCCTGGCCAATGTGGTGAAACCTCGTCTCTACTAAAGATGTAAAAATTAGCCAGGCGTGGTGGAAGGAGCCTGTAATCCCAGCTACTTGGGAGGCTGAGACAGGAGAATCATTTGAACCCGGAGGCGGAGGTTGCAGTGAGCCGAGATCACGACACTGCACCCCAGCCTGGGCGACAGAGCAAGACTCCATCTCAAAAAAACCAAAAAACAAAAATAGATTTATCAAACTAAAGGATACCTTCAGAAACAAAATGTTTAAAGCTTGTAATAGATTTAAAGCTTGAAAATATATTGTTTCCAAATCTATGACCATCAACGTGATCAAGGTGGTTTTCTAGAGAATGAAGCCTCTGAGAGTTTTTTTGAAAGATGAATCTGAGAGCACTCACTCTCTTCTGCTTTAAGCATTAAACTGGACCTTTCTTGGCCACTGCCTGCAGCCACCCCTTGGCTGGAGACCTTCCTGGGGTAGGATAATGCAAAATTCACTATGGCCTCTGCTCTTTACAAAGAATGTTAACAAAATAAATTTCTTAATAAAAGTACAAAGAACTTCAACTCGGTTGGGTGTGGTGGCATGGTGGCTCATGCCTGTAGAGTCCCAGCTGCGCTTGAGGCTGAGGCAGGAGGATTGCTTGAGCCTAGTAATTTGAGGGTGCACTGAGCCATTACTGTACGGCTGCTCTCCAGCCTGGGCAGCATAGCAAGACTCCTGTCTCTTTAAAAAAAAAAAAAGACTGGTCAAGGTGGCTCACGCCTGTAATCTCAACACTTTGGGAGGCCAAGGTGGGTGGATCACTTGAGGCCAGGAGTTTGAGACCAACCTGGCCAACATGGTGAAACCCCATCTCTACTAAAAATACAAAAATTCCCCAGGTGCATGGTGGTGCACACCTCTAGTCCCGGCTACTCAGGGGGCTGAGGCAGAAGAATCACTTGAACCTGGGAGGCAGAGGTTGCAGTGAGCTGAGATCAGGCCACTGCACTCCAGCCTGCGTGACAGAGCGAGACTCTGTCTCAAAACAAACAAACAAAAACCCTGTAACCTCCAATAGGTGGTTTCTTTTAACTACCAAGTTGTCCAAGCCACCTGGGTAAGGCAGTGGTGATAGTTGGCTCTGTGAATCTTTGGGGTACAGCTAGAGGAGTCTGTCTGGATGCTGGGGTGGGCAGGGCCTCTGCATCCAGCCGGCATTCAGGAGGGAGTGGGCACCTTTCCCTTCCCATGACCTCCACCTGCTGGGGCTGGTGCCTCCAAGTGGATGCCCCACCCACCGCCACTGTGTCCCCCTCACCCTCCAGCCGACAGCCAGTCAGCCTCCTGATCCCTGTCTCCCTCTCTCCCCGCAGCTGACCACAGTGGCCGAGAAGTCTCGGGTGCTGCAGCTGGAGGAGGAGCTCACCCTGAGGCGCGGTGAGATCGAGGAGCTGCAGCAATGCCTGCTGCACTCGGGACCCCCGCCCCCGGACCACCCCGACGCCGCCGAGACCCTGCGGCTGCGGGAGCGGCTGTTGTCGGCCAGCAAGGAGCACCAGAGGGAGAGCGGGGTGCTGCGGGATAAGTACGAGAAGGCCCTGAAGGCCTACCAGGCGGAGGTGGACAAGCTCCGTGCGGCCAATGAGAAGTACGCGCAGGAGGTGGCGGGCCTGAAGGACAAGGTTCAGCAGGCCACCAGCGAGAACATGGGGCTCATGGACAACTGGAAATCCAAGCTGGACTCACTGGCCTCGGACCACCAGAAGTCCCTGGAGGACCTCAAGGCCACCCTGAACTCGGGCCCAGGTGCCCAGCAGAAGGAGATTGGCGAGCTGAAGGCGGTGATGGAGGGCATCAAGATGGAGCACCAGCTGGAGCTGGGTAACCTGCAGGCCAAGCATGACCTGGAGACTGCCGTGCACGTGAAGGAGAAGGAGGCCCTGCGGGAGAAGCTGCAGGAGGCCCAGGAGGAGCTGGCCGGGCTGCAGCGGCACTGGCGGGCCCAGCTGGAGGTACAAGCCAGCCAGCACCGGCTGGAGCTGCAGGAGGCCCAGGACCAGCGCCGGGACGCCGAGCTGCGCGTGCACGAGCTGGAAAAGCTGGACGTGGAGTACCGGGGCCAGGCGCAGGCCATCGAGTTCCTCAAGGAGCAGATCTCGCTGGCCGAGAAGAAGATGCTGGACTACGAGCGGCTGCAGCGGGCTGAAGCCCAGAGCAAACAGGAGGCCGAGAGGCTGCGGGAGAAGCTCCTGGTGGCCGAGAACAGACTCCAGGCGGTCGAGGCCCTGTGTTCCTCCCAGCACACCCACGTAGGCGCCTGCCCCGCCTGCTGGGGCGGGAGGGGCGGGCTGGGAAGGGCTAGGGCATTTGCTGACCTCTGTTTTGCAGCCCAGGAACTGTTTTCCTCGTCCCCAAGAGGATGCCCGGGGAAGTCGAAGGGGGGCACCTGGCTCAGAAGAGGAGCTTCTTGGCCCTCTTTTAGAGGTGCAGCGAGCCCCAGTGACCAGGGGGAACCCAAGCTGATCTGAGCTAACCCAGCTGCGTCTTCCCACAGAGCAGACCTGGAGAGATGGGACCTTGGTGCCCAGGATGGCCTTCTGCCCAGTCCCTAAGCCCTCATTTATCCACACATGTCTTAGGGTACAGACTCCTGCTACCTCAGACCCTGCGCCTGGGGCTAGCACAGACCTGAAGGCAATCTCTACCTCTCCCCCTGGGGTCTTCCATCTCCCACTCAGATGCCCACCTGGGGAACCAGGGGCGGCCCCCCCTTTCTGCCAGTCCTAATGAAACTTTAGCAGCAGTGAAGAAAGTACTTCCCCAGAATGTGGGGGTTCCCAGAGTGGGGCCTGGAAGGCTAGAGGGAGGTGGTTCTAAGGAGGTCACTGTCACCAGTGTCAATTTTGCTCCAAATCTAGAAATTCCTTAGCATCTACCCCTTCCTTCAGCTGAGCCCATCCTCCCAGCCCCTCTGAGGTCCACACCCAGGTGAGCTGTGTCCGCGCAGCCAGGGCCAGGAAGGGCCTTTTGAGTGGCTCTGGGCATCAGGCCTTATGCCAGGCCCTATGTGACTCCGTTTCACAGGTGAGCAAGCTGAGACTTTCCCAGGCCCCCAGCCTCTCAGTGGCAGAGATGTCCAACCCCATTGCCGGTGGGGCTGACAGGGCACCCAGGACAACAGGAATTAATTCATAGGGTGGATAGCTAGAAACGGACTCTTGCCTGGATACAAATTGTACTCAGGGATTCTTGAGTCTTCAGTTCCCCCCGTACCTTTGTCTTTCTGTTTTTTGGGTTTTCTTGAGATGGAGTTTTGCTCTTGTTGCCCAGGCTGGAGTGCAGTGGTGCGATGTTGGCTCACTGCAACCTCCGCCTCCCAGGTTCAAGTGATTCTTCTGTCCCCGCCTCCCAAGTAGCTTCGATGACAGGCATGTGCCACCACGCCCAGCTAATTTTTATATTTTTAGTGGAGGTGGGGCTTCACCATGTAGTCCGGGCTGGTCTCCCTCCTGATCTCAGGTGATCCACTCACCTCAGCCTCCCAAAGTCCTGGGATTACAGGCATGAGCCACCATGCTGGGCGCCCATTTTTTTTTTATTTTAAAGACAGGGTCTTGCTCTCTCTCCAAGGCTGGAGTGCAGTCACATGATCATGGCTCACTGCAGCCTCAACCTCGTGGGTTCAAGCGATCCTCCCATGTCAGCCTCCCAAGTCACTGGGACCACAGGCATGCCCCACTTCACCTGGCTAATTTTTATAGTTTTTGTAGGCAGGGGGTTTTACCATGTTGCCCAGGCTATACTCAAACTCCTGGGCTCAAGCCATCTGCCAATCTTTGCCTCCCAAAGTGCTGGGATTACAGGAAGGAGCCACTATACGTGGCCACCAGAATTTAAGGCTGGGTGTAGTGGCTCACACATATAATCCCAGTATTTCGAGAGGCTGAGGCTGGAGGGTTGCTTCCGGCCAGGAGTTTGAGACCAGCCTGGACACTATAGTGAGACCCCATCTCTACAAAAATGAAAAATGGTCAAGCATGGTGGGAGTGTGCCTGCAGCTACTCTGGAGGCTGAGGCAGGAGGATCACTTGAGCTCAGGGGTTTGAGGCTGCAGTGAGCTCTGACTGCGCACCACTGCACTCCAGCCTGGGCGACAGAGTGAGACTCTGACTTAAAACACAGAAACAGAATTTAACATGTGGGCAATAAGCTCTCAGGGCTTCCAAATCCAGGTGCTTTTTTCTGTAAAAGAAGGAAATCTTTCAGCTTCACGCCTTGAGACCCCTTGCAATGGCCTTCCTGCCCCTTCTCCCAGGGAGGGATTTTTTTTTTTAGCAAGTGCTCCCCCAGGCTCCTGGGCTGAAAGAAAAGGAAGAAACCCAAATTAGCTTATGTGCACATGACCTGATTAGCAGCTCAGGGCAGGCAGAAGCAGCCTGCAACCCCGGAACTGGATCCCCTGAGCGGGGAGGTTAGGGGCTGCTGTAGTTCCACGGAGCCTGGGGGACAGAGGCCTGAGGACACCTTCCCCATCCCCTGGCCCTCATTTACAGGTGCCTTCAGGCCAAGAAGTAGTAGTGACCTCAGAAAGCCCAGCTCTTGGCCTGGAGCGGTGGCTGACGCCTGTAATCCCAGCACTTCGGGAGGCTGAGGCAGGTGGATCACTTGAGGTCAGGAGTTTGAGACCAGCCTGGGCAACATGGTCAAATCTCTACCAAAAAATACAAAAATTTGCTGAGAATGGCGGCGCTCAGCCTCCCAGCTACTCGGAAGGCCATGGCATGAGGGTCGCTTGAACCGGGAGGTGAAGGTTGCAGTGAGCCGAAATCATGCCACTGCACTCCAGCCTGGGCGACAGAGCGAGACTCCATATGAAAAAAAAAAAAAAAAAGCCTGTCTTTGATTTTCCATACACACTGGGGCCTCAGTCTAAACACATATGTCCCCACCTTCAGAGGTTTAGGTCCAAGGACAACTGGATTTTTGGTCTCGTGGTAAATATGGGAATTTAAAAAATTATCTTAGTGTGTGCTATCTAATTTTAGATAATCTAAAAATTTATCTAAGTGTGTACATCATAAGTAAATTACGATCCAAGGAGCTTAGTTCATTACAACTAATTGAAACTCAAATGGGACTTGGGATGTATGAACAGAAGTATGAGGGGCAGGATGATGGAGGTGACTGCCTACTCAGCTCTGTGCTGCCGTGATCTGCGGTGTTAGACTCCAGCTGGCTCTGGGGAAAGCTGGCCTGGGCAGAGGACTGGAAACGTCTGCCAAGAGCAGCAGGGAACCTACTGGTTGTGTTTTGACTTTTCTCATAGTAGTGTGTGCCAGGCTAATTTTTTTTTTTAATCAGTCTTTTCTTCTTTGTCCTCTGCGTTTATTTTAAAAAGAAATGTTGGAGAGAAAGGAACTTGCATTTAATCAAATCCCTCCAGGAGGTGGCCCCAGGCACGCCGCGCACACTAACCCACAGCAGCCAACACTTGTTTTATGGGTGGGAAACTGAGGCCAGAAGTCCTGTCTCTGGGACTCGGAGACACAAGTAATGAATTCCCAGGACGAATCTCTGTAGACGTCCCGGGGAAGGAGCCGACTGTTTAATATAATAAACATTTTCAACAAAGGAAGAGTAGGAGGTATTCACATGTAAGTGGCACAAGCAGCCTTCAGGAGAGCTGGGGACAGAATGAGGGTCCTCTGTTGTCAGGGAGGTCAGACCGAGGACATCTGTACTCCCTGCCCACAGCAAGTCCCTGAGTCCATCACAGGTCCCTTTACATAGGGTGTGCAAACTGCAGGTGTGCTGGCTAGGCTGGCTAGGGCTGGGGCCAAGGGGCCAAGGGGAGCATCCCCCTCACTGGGGCTCTATTTGCAGATGATTGAGTCGAATGACATTTCAGAGGAGACGATCAGGACGAAGGAAACCGTGGAGGGTGAGTGGCCGCTGGGCTGGGTGGGACTCGGCTCTGGGGAGAAGCTGGCTGGCTCTGCCTTCCTTCTGGGTCACATTTTGGTTTGCATGATCTGCCATTTGGTGAGAGTCACCTCCTGTGCGCAGTGAGCCATTTACTCCTACAGGGAAGGAGGCCAGTTTAAGGAGGGTTAGGCACCAGGTACTTTATTATTTGCTTGGTTTAAACCTTATTTTTAAAAGCAGGTCTAAACTTCAAGTGGGTCAAAGGGCATATGGCAAAGCATTCCCTGTTCTCTATTCTTCCCTCCCTGAAGGCGCAGTGTTAGCTGCTTTATATCCCCTTTCCAGAAATATTTTGTGCAGGTACGAGCAACCAAGTGACACAGATGGTACCATACTTTCCATTCTTTCAGCTCCTTCATTTATTCCATTTAACAATGGATCTTGGAGCCGGTTCCTCATCAGTAGTACATTCTTTTATAGAGTACAGAATATTCCATTGTGTGGAGGTACCATTGTGTATTTAGCTGGTTTCCAGTAACAGTCACGGATTGTTTCCAGTCTTGGTCAGTTACAAAGATGGTAGGTTATCTCCAGTCTCGGTCAATTACAAACGCCATTGTCGTAAGTTACCTTGACTTCCATAGGGCACACCAATTTTAACTCCCGCTAGCTGTGGTTGAAAGCCTGTCTCCCCTCAAACTCCCAACAACAAAATGTTTGATCAGACTCTGTGATCTTTGCTGATCTTTAAGGTAAAAGGTGTTGTCTGATGTGACTTCAACTCATCTTTCTCTTATGTGGATGAAGTTAAGAGATATTTCGATTTGCATTTCGACTTGTGTCTTCTGACCGTTTTTTTCTGATTTGGTTACTGACCTTCTTGCTGATTTTTAGAAGCTCTTTATGTATGACATTGCAGACATTTTCCCTCCTTATGGTTTGTGTTTTGACTTTTTTCTTGTGGAGGTGTTGACCATGCAGATATTTTTTTAAAAATAGGGCAGGTATGGTGGCTTACACTTGTAATCCCGGCACTTTGGGAGGCTGAGGTAGGAGGATTGCTTAAACCCAGGAGTTCGAGACCAGCCTGGGCAACATGTGAGACCCTGTCTCTATAAAAAATGACCCTGCCCCTCCAAAAAATTAGCCAGGTATGGTGGCATGTAGCCATAATCCCAGGTACTTGGGAGGGTGAGGAGGGAGGATCATTTGAGCCCAGGAAGTGGAGGCTGCAGCGAGCTATGATCATGTCACTGCACTCCAGCCTGAGCGACAGAGTGAGACCCTGTCACTAAAAAAAAAAGTTTCTTGGTTAATTATCTTAAAAATGTATCCAGTGGTTTCTTCGGGTACTTTTTTGTCTTATTTTCTATGCTGAAATCTCTGACCATCTAGAATTCATCCTTATATAAGGTGTGAGGTAAGGATCCATTTAAATTTTTTCCCAAAGGAGTACCCACTTATCCAACACTATTTTTGAAAATGGTTATTTTCTCCCCAAAACCTTCACTGATTAGAATTATTAACCTTATCATCTTTAAATTCATTTACGTAATTGACTCTATTTCTGGACTTTTGTTCCATTCCAATGCCTTGTTATTCTCTTCATGTGACAATTCTGTGTCTATGTTTTAATTTCTAGCATGTTCTTCTCTGCTTTATCAAAATTCTCTTCACTATTCTTGTTAAAATATTAAGCTGAAGTTAACATAACAGACATGTGCAGGTTTGTTATAAAATTTAAAACATGAAAAAGATTAATATAACATATAATCAGCCATTTTTCTTTTTCTTTTCGTTTTTGTTTTTTTTTTTTTTGAGGTGGAGTTTTACTCTTGTTGCCCAGGCCGGAGTGCAGTGGCGTGATCTCGGCTCACTGCAACCTCTGCCTCCCAGGTTCAAGTGATTCTCCTGCCTCAGCCTCCCAAGTAGCTGGGATTACAGGTGCACGCCACCATGCCTCACTAATTTTTTGATTTTTTAGTAGAGATGGGGTTTCACCACGCTGGCCAGACTGGTCTTGAACTCCTGGCCTCAAGCGATCCACCAGCCTCAGCCTCCCAAAGTGCTGGGATTATAGGCATGAGCCAACGTGCCTGACCTCATATGGAAGTTCTACATTTAAATTCTTGAGGAACTGCCAGACTCCTTTGGCTAGTCTTGCTCATTTTTACAGGCACAGCTAGTTCCACCAAAATTTAAAATCAGGCTGGGCGCAGTGCTTCACGCTGTAACCCCAGGACTTTAGGAGGCCCAGGCAGGAGGATCACTGCAGCCCAGAAGTTCAACACCAGCCAGGGCAACAGAGTGAGACCCTGCCTCTTCAAAAATTAAACAATTAGGCTGGGCACGGGGTCTCAACGTCTGTAATCCCAGCACTTTGGGAGGCCAAGGTGGATGGATCACCTGAGGCCAGGAGTTCCTGTCCAGGCTGGCCAACATGATGAAACCCTGTCTCTACTAAAGATACCAAAAAAAAAAAAAAAAAAAGAGAGAGAGAAAATTAGCCAGGTGTGGTGATGTGCACCTGTAATCCCAGCTACCTGGGAGGCTGAGGCAGGAGAATCTCTTGAACCTGGGAGGCGGAGGTTGCAGTGAGCCGAGATGGCACCACTGCACTCCAGCCTGGGTGACAGAGGGAGACTTTGTCTCCAAAAAAAAAAAGAATTAAAAAAATAAAAATAAAAAATTAGCCAGATGTGGTGGTACATGCCTCTGGTCCAAGCTACTCAGGAGGCTGAGGCAGGAGGATCACTTGAACCCAAGAGGTCGAGGCTGCAGTGAGTTAAGATTTCACACTGCACTCCAGCCTAAGCAACAGAACAAGAACCTGTCACACACACAAAAAGTTAAAATCGTGTTGGTGGCCAGGTACAGTGGCTCACTCTTGTAATCCCAGCACTTTGGGTGGCTGGGGTGGGTAGATCATGGGGTCAGGAGTTCGATACCAGCCTGGCCAACATGGTGAAATCCCATCCCTACCAAAAATACAAAAATTAGCTGGGCACGATGGCGCACACCTGTAATCCCAGCTACCTGGGAGGCTGTGATCCCAGCTACTTGGGAGGAGGATCACTTGAACCCGGGAGGCGGAGGTTGCAGTGAGCGGAGACCGTACCACTGCACTCCAGCCTGGGTGACAGAGGCTGGGATTATAGAGGTGAGCCACCATGTCCAGCCCCCATCAAATTTTTTTATGTTTTGTAGAGATGAGCCCTCACTGTGTTTACAACAAAATAGTGTTGGTATTTTTAGTTGTATTAACTTTTGGAGGTGGAGATATTTCCAGGTGCTTGCCATGCCTCGTCCTTTATGGCCGAGAGGAAGCATCCTGGCTTGACCACTCATGATTGGTGACCCGGGTGCCACCGAATTGTTCTTACTGTTTTTCACTTGAGGGGTCTAAGGCTGTGACAGATTGCCTAAGACCACATAGTGTCCGGTTCTCCTCTTTTTTTTTTTTCTTTTTGAGACCGAGTCTTGCTCTGTCACCCAGGCTAGAGGACAGTGGCATGATCTTGGCTCACTGCAGCCTCCGCCTCCTGGATTCAAATGATTCTCCTGCCTCAGCCTCCCTAGTAAATGGGATTACAGGCACCCACCACCATGCCCAGATAAATTGTTTTTGTTTTTTTGGAGACAGAGTCTCACTCTGTCACCAGGCTGGAGTGCAGTGGTGCAATCTCAGCTCACTGCAATCTCGGGTTCAAGCAGTTCAGTCCCCTGAGTGGCTGGAATTACAGGTGCACACCACCACGCTCAGCTAATTTTTGTATTTTTAATAGAGACGGTTTCACCATGTTGGTCTCGAACCTCTGACCTCAGGTGGTCCACCAGCCTCAGCCTCCAGAAGTGCTGGGATTACAGGTTTGAGCCACCATGCCCGGCCAGTGTCAGGTCTTCAGGGCAGATTACCCAGCATGACGGCTAGAATGAGGAAGAACTTGGACCCTGGAGGCCAAGCGTGACCCCGTCGCAGGGCTCCTGTGGGAGGGCCACGCTCCTGCCCACTGCCGATTTGGTCCAGGGGATTGATGCTTCTCATCTTTCCTCTCTCCCCTAGGCCTGCAGGACAAGCTGAACAAGAGGGACAAAGAGGTGACAGCCTTGACCTCCCAGACCGAGATGCTCAGGGCCCAAGTAAGTGGTAAGTCTCCCTCCCGCAGGGCACGTGCGGGGGTAAGTCTCCGTCCCGCAGGGCACGTGCGGGGGTAAGTCTCCATCCCGCAGGGCACGTGCGGGGCTAATTCTCCGTCCCGCAGGGCACGTGCGGGGCTAAGTCTCCCTCCCGCAGGGCACGTGCGGGGGGCTTTCACTGGGCCCCAGCCGAAGCAGCTGCCAGTGGGTCAGCGCCTGGCTCAGGGTCCCCTCCCCGACACTGCTTTAAGAAGAAAAGGGCCAGGGCCAGGTCACCTGCACCAGACAGACATTCACCTGGGGAGAACTGAGTGGCCCACACTCGGTCTGTCTGTTTTTTTTTTTTTTTTTTTTTTTTAGACAGAGTTCTGCTCTTGTTGCGCAGGCTGGAGAGCAATGGTGTGATCTCAGCTCACCACAACCTCTGCCTCCCAGGGTTCAGGAGATTCTCCTGCCTCAGCCTCCCAAGTAGCTGGGACTATAGGCCTGTGCCACCACGCCTGGATAATTCTTTTTGTATTTTTAGGTTTCTCTATGTTGGCCAGGCTGGTCTCAACTCCTGACCTCAGGTGATCCACCCGCCTTGGCCTCGCAAGGTGCTGGGATTCCAGCGTGAGCCACAGTGCCCGGCCCACGGTCCATCTTATAATGGCTCCCTGCCAGTTTCTGCTCTGTGTTCTGTGTCCTGGAATTCCATCTCAGGTTCCCTCTTTCTGGTCCTGAAGACTTTCTAGTCTCTCTCTCTCTCTCTTTCCTTTTTTGTTTTTGTTTTTGAGATAGGGTCGTACTCTGTCCACAGCCCAGGCTGGAGTGCAGTGGAACGGTCTCAGTTCACTGAGACCTGCACCTCCTGGGTTCAAGTGATTCTCCTGCCTCAGCCTCCCAAGTAGCTGGGGTTACAGGTGCACGCCACCATGTCTGGCTAATTTTTAATGTATTTTTTTAGGAGAGACGGGGTTTCTCCATGTTAGCCAGGCTGGTCTTGAACTCCTGACCTCAGGTGATCCACCCACCTCAGCCTCCCAAAGTGTTGGGATTACAGGTGTGAGCCACCGCACCTGGCCCCTGGCCCTGCTTCTTGTTCACCAGAATGCCAGCAGTGGTGGGCATGAGACAGCCGTGCTCCTCGGAAATGGTCGCCACCCCCTCTTCTGTCCATCCCCCGGTACAAGGCAGAATTGGTCCCAAAAAAGGTCAGTGGACTTAAGACTCCTCCAAGGCCAAGGTGAAGGTGAAGCTTTTCCTGATCCAGGCGACAGTGTAAACACACACGTGCAGTCCTGCTCCCCACACCGGGAGCCCAAGCAGCTGCTGTGCTTGGTGAGGGCTGATCTGTTTCTTGTACCTGTTCTCTCAGGCCCCTTGCCACCTGCCTTGTAGGGACAGTTGAGACCCATGGTGCTTTTAAAATGATGCAGTGGATGCTGGGCGAGGTGCTCATGCCTGTAATCCCAGCACTTTGGGAGGCCAAAGAAGGAGAATTGCTTGAGGCCAGAGTTTGAGACCAGCCTATGAAACATAATGAGGCCTCCTCTCTGCAAAACATAAAAATTTGGCTGGGGCTGGGCATGGCTCATGCCTGTAATCCCAGCACTTTGGGAGGCCAAGGCAGGTGGATCACCTAAGGTCAGGAGTTCAAGACCAGCCTGGCCAAAATGGTGAAACCCCATCTCTATTAAAAATATTAAAAAATTTGATGCTAACATGCTGGGAATGAATGAAAAAGAAGAAAAAAATATATATTAAAAAATTAGCCAGGTGTGGTGGCGTCACCTATATTCCCTGCTACTAGGGAGGCTGAGGCAGGAGCGTTGCTGGAACTGGGGAGGCAGAGGTTGCAGTGAGCCGAGATCACGCCATTGCACTCCAGCCCAGGCTGACAACAGTGACTCAGTCTCAAAAAAAAAAAAAAAAAGAAAAAAAATGTGGCCGGGCCCCATGACTCACACCTGTAACCCCAGCACTTTGGGAGGCTGAGGTGGGTGGATTATTTGAGGTCAGGAGTTCAAGACCAAACATGGTAAAACCCCGATCTCTACTAAATATACAAAAATTAGCCAGGTGTGGTGGTGCATGCCTGTATTTCCAGCTACTCAGGAGGCTGAGGCAGGAGGATGCTTGAGGCCAGGAGTTGGAGGCTGTAATGAGCTCTTTGTGCCACTGCACTCCAGTCTCAATGACAGAGCAAGACCCTGTAATCTAAAACATCCCTCAAAACTAAGACGGGCGCAGTGGCTCACTCCTGTAATCCCAACACTTTGGGAGGCTGAGGCAGGCAGATCATGAGGTCAGGAGTTCGAGACCAGCCTGGCCAACATATGAAACCCCATCTCTACTAAAAATATGAAAAAATTGCCGGGCGTGGTGATGCGCGCCTGTAATCCCAGCTACTCAGGAGGCTGAGGCAGGAGAATCACTTGAACTCGGGTGGGGGAGGTTGCAGTGAGCCGAGATCACGCCATTGCACTCCAGCCTGGGTGACAGAGTGAGACTCCATCTCAAAAAAAAGAAAACAATTAAAATTAAATACTACGAATAATAAACCCCTCAAAACTATGCAGTGGAGTGTGTCACCTTCAGCGCCTGGAGAATCAGTGCCTGCCCAGGTCTGTGCCCTTGGGTGGGACAGAGGCTCACGTGTTCCCAATCCTCTTTCTCCCTTCCCTGCTGCTCACCCCAGCGCTGGAGAGCAAGTGCAAGTCGGGTGAGAAGAAGGTGGACGCCCTCCTGAAGGAGAAGCGGCGCCTGGAGGCGGAGCTGGAGGCCGTGTCCCGGAAGACCCACGACGCCTCGGGCCAGCTGGTCCTCATCAGCCAGGAGCTGCTGCGGAAGGAGCGGTGAGGTGGCCGTGGGGCGGGCCGGGTCCTCCCTGTGGCCCTGGCCTTTGCTCCGCTTCTTGACTTCAGCTTATGTTATCTCGGGGAGAGAGGGGCGGAGCTGGTGGGCCAGGGAGCTGATCACCAGCAGTCACCCTGCTCTCCTCTAAGCTCCAAGAAAGCCTCCAGCAACTCCACACGGTTCTCCAAGCAGAGTTTATAAAGAGTAGGGCTGCCAGGGGCAGTGGCTCATGCCTGAAACCTCAGCACTTTAGGAGGCCAAGGCAGGTGGATCACTCGGGAGTTCAAGACCAGCCCGGCCAATATGGTGAAACCCCGTCTCTACTGAAAATACAAACATTAGCAGGGTGTAGTGGTGTGCCCCTATAGTCCCAGCTCCTCAGGAGGCTGAGGCAGGAGAATCTCTTGGGACCTGGGAGGAGGAGGCTGCAGTGAGCTGAGATCATGCCCGTTGCACTCCAGCCTGGTGACGGAGGAAGCCTCTATCTCAAAAAAATAATAAGAATAAAGTTTCTTTTTTTAATTAGCCAAGCCTGGTGGTATGCACCGATACTCCTAGCTACTTGGGAGGCTGAGGCAGGGTGATCCCTTGAGCCCAAGAGTTTGAGGCTGCAGCCAGCTGTGTTGTACCACTCCACCCCAGCCGGGGCAACAGGCAAGACCCTGTCTCTTAAAAAAAAAAAAGAAAAGATTAATGCCTCCCAAAATATTTGATCTCAGGGACCCCTTTAAACTCCTAAAAATTATTGAGGATCTCAAAGAGCTGTTGTTTGTTTATTCTATATTTACCGTATTAGAATTAAGACGGAAATTGTAAGGTACAAATCCATCTTAAAATAAGAAGCTAGGATGGGTGCGGTGGCTCATGCCTGTAATCCCAGCACTTTTGGAGGCTGAGGCAGGAGGATCACTTGAGCCAAGAAGTTTGAGACCAGCCTGGGCAACATGGCGAAACCCCATCTCTACCAAAAATACAAAATTTAGCGGAGTGTGGATGCACACACCTGTAATCCCAGCTACTCAGGAGGCTGAGGAAGGAGGATTACTTGGGCCCAGGAGGTCGAGGTTGCAGTGAGCCACGATCACACCACTATACTGCAGCTTGGGTGACAAAGCAGGACCCCGTCTCAAAAAATAATAAATAAAAGGCTGGTGCAGTGGTTCATACCTGTAATTCCAGCACTTTGGGAGGCCGAGGCGGGTGGATCACGAGGTCAAGAGATGGAGACCATCCTGGTCAACATGGTGAAACCCCGTCTCTACTAAAAATACAAAAAATTAGCCGGGCACGGTGGCGCGTGCCTGTAATCCCAGCTACTCAGGAGGCTGAGGCAGGAGAATTGCCTGAACCCAGGAGGCGGAGGTTGCGGTGAGCCGAGATCGCGCCACTGCACTACAGCCTGGGTAACAAGAGCGAGACTCCGTCTAAAAAAAAAAAAACAAAAAAAACAGGAAAAGTAGCCAGGCATGGCAGCACACTTGTAGTCCCAGCTACTCAGGAGGCTGAGGCAGGAGAGTCACTTGAACCTGGGAAGCGGAGGTTGCAGTGAGCTGAGATCGTGCCACTGCACTCCAGCCTGGGCGACAAGAGCGAAAGTCTGTCTCAAAAAAATAATAATAATAATTAAATAAATAAAAATCAGAAGATGTCACAGAGAATCCAGATTTCTCCGGATTCCCTTAATAAATGGGAAGATGTGGCCAGGCACGGTGGCTCACACCTGGAACCCCAGCACTTTGGGAGGCAGAACTGAATAAGCACTTGAGCTCAGGAGTTCAAGACCAGCCGAAGCAACATAGCAAGACCCCATCTCTAAAAAAAGAAAAATAGCTGGGCATAGTGGCACACACCCGTGGTCCCAGCTACTCAGGAGGCTTTGGTAGGATTACTTGGGCCCAGGAGGTCGAGGCTGCATTGAGCCAGGATCACACCACAGCCTGGGCGACAGAGCAACACCCTGTCTTGAAAACCAGTAAGTAAAAGACCAAGTGTGGAGGCTCACACCTGGAATCCCAGCACTTTGGGGGGCAGAACTGAATAAGCACTTGAGCTCAGGAGTTCAAGACCAGCCTAAGCAACATAGCAAGACCCCATCTCGAAAAAAAGAAAAATAGCTGGGCATAGTGGCACACACCCGTGGTCCCAGCTACTCAGGAGGCTTTGGTAGGAGGATTACTTGGGCCCAGGAGGTCGAGGCTGCATTGAGCCAGGATCACACCACAGCCTGGGCGACAGAGCAACACCCTGTCTTGAAAACCAGTAAGTAAAAGACCGAGTGTGGTGGCTCACGCCTGTAATCCCAGCATTTTGGGAGGCTGAGGCAGGTGGATCACCTGAGGTCAGAAGTTCGAGACCAGCCTGGCCAACATGATGAAATCCTGTCTCTACTAAAAATACAAAACTTAGACAGGGGTGGCTGGGTGCAGTGGCTCACACCTGTAATCCGAGCACTTTGGGGGGCTGAGGCAGACAGATCACGAGGTCAGGAGATTGAGACCATCCTGGCTAACATAGTGAAACCCCATCTCCACTAAAAATACAAAAAATTAGCTGGGCGTGGTGGCGCGTGCCTGTAATCCCAGCTACTCAGGAGGCTGAGGCAGGAGAATCACTTGAACCCGGGAGGTGGAGGTTGCAGTGAGCCGAGACCACGCCATTGCCCTGCAGCCTGGGTGACAGAGTGAGACTCCATCTCAAAAGAAAAAAATAAAATAAAATAAATTCTTCCCTGCTGGGATACCTTTTCTTTTTTTTTGAGACAGAGTCTCAGTCTGTCACGCAGGCTGGAGTGCAGTGGCACAGTCTTGGCTCAATGCAACCTCCACCTTCCAGGTTCAAGTGATTCTCCTGCCTCAGCGTCCCGAGTAGTGTGGATTACAGGCAGGCTCCACCATGCCTGGCTAATTTTGTATTTTCAGTAGAGACAGGGTTTCACCTTGTTGGACAGGCTGGTCTGACTCCTGACCTCAAGTGGTCTGTCCGTCTTGGCGTCCCAGTGTGCTGAGATTACAGACATGCACCACCACACCCAGCTAATTTTTGTATTCTTAGTAGAGACGGGGTTCCACTATGTTGGCCAGGCTGGTCTCAAACTCCTGACCTTAGGTAATCTGCCCTCCTCAATCTCCCAAAGCGCTGGGATTACAGGCAAGCCTACCGCACCTGGCCAGAGATACCTTCCATTTGATCATCTTGCTAAGTCCACTCTATTCTTTGAGGCATAGCGTATTGTCACCTCCTCCTTGAAGCCATTCTTGATTGATATAGGCCACCGTGGGCTTCTCCACACTCCTGAAATGCTTAGTGTGGGGGTTGGAGATCAGCTAGGAGTGCTTTGGTGACAGTGATGTCATATCTATGAAACAGCAGATTAAACTAGTAGAGATTTCCTTTTCTTGCATAACAAGAAATCTGGAGTTGACTGTGACTGGTGGTTGGTTCAGGAGCTTAAGATCTTAGTGCCAACCCCTTTGTGGTGCTCCCTGCCTCATGGTTGCAAGGTGGCTGCTGAAGGTCCAGCCATCACATCATATATCATAGCAAGAAGGAGGAGGAAAGAGGAAGGGGGCCATGCTAGCAGATTTCCACTGTTTTCTACCAGTGGCCACCTAGTAAGGGAGTTTCCCCTCTGTAGTATTTGTAGGCAAGAGAAAAGGCTGGGGCACAGGGGTATGTGTGCTCCTGCCTGTGCCCGTGGCAGGCATGACCTGCACCCTGTTTCCTGCAGACCCCAAATGTGGCCTCAGAATCATTCTTATCATAGAACTCTAGGTTTCCTGCCAGTTAAGACGTGACACGGGAAATAAAACCCATGTGACATCAGGCATTTAAAATGTCTTGCCGGCCAGGGATGGTGGCTCATACCTGTAATCCCAGCACTTTGGGAAGCCAAGGTGGGAGGATTATCTGAGGCCAGGAGTTCAAGACCAGCTTGGGCAACATTGCAAGACCCTGTCTCTATTTTTTTTTTTTTACCTGTTCGAAGGATGTCTTTACTTTTTTAAAAAGGATAAAATGCCTTGCCTCATGAACTTTCTCGGGTAAATGTTTTGGGGTTGTGTGTTTGTGTTTTAATTAAACAAATATATTGTCATTTTTAAAAGACAATTATTATGTATTTATCTATTCTTTTGAGACAGTCTTGCTCTGTTGCCCAGGCTGGAGTACAGTGGCTTGATCAGGGCTCACTGTGACCTCCACCTCCCAGGTTCAAGTGATTCTCCTGCCTCAGCCACCCACGTAGCTGGGATTACAGGTGCCACCACCACGACTGGCTGATGTTTGTCTTTTTATTTATTTAGTTTTGAGACAGAGTGTCACTCTGTTGCCAGGCTGGAGTGCAGTGGCACAATCTTGGCTAACTGCAATCTTTCCTCCTGGGTTCAAGCAATTCTCGTGCCTCAGCCTCCCGAGTAGCTGGGATTACAGGCGCACACCACCACATCCGCTAATTTTTGTATTTTTAGTAGATACGGGTTTCACCATGTTGACCAGGATGGTTTCGATCTCCTGACCTTGTGATCTTCCCGCCTCGGCCTCCCAAAGTGCTAGGATTACAGATGTGTGCCACCATGCCCAGCCAATTATTGTATTTTTAGTAGAGACAGGGTTTCACCATGTTGGCCAGGATGGTTTCGATCTCCTGACCTTGTGATCTTCCCGCCTCGGCCTCCCAAAGTGCTAGGATTACAGATGTGTGCCACCATGCCCAGCCAATTATTGTATTTTTAGTAGAGACAGGGTTTCACCATGTTGGCCAGGCTAGTCTCAAACTCCTGACCTCAAATGATCTGCCAGTCTCAGCCTCCCAAAATGCTGAGATTACAGGCGTGAGCCACTGTGCCTGGCACTCCTCCCAGAAGAACTTTAAAAAAGCATTCTAGGAAAGGTCAAGTCCTCGGGACCATCCCAACCTTGAATCCTGGCCCCTCCTGGGCTTTGGTTGAATTGTGTTTACTGTGGCCCCTTGTGGCACGGACGCCATCCAGTAGCCCGTGTCCCCCACCAGTTGGTCAGTCCCTGGGCACTTGGCAAATTGCTAGAGTGTGGGAGCGGGGAGGGGGGAGCTGAGTGCAGTGGTTCTGTGCCCGCCCCACCCCCAGGAGCCTGAACGAGCTGCGGGTGCTGCTGCTGGAGGCCAATCGCCACTCCCCGGGGCCCGAGAGGGACCTGAGCCGCGAGGTGCACAAGGCGGAATGGCGCGTCAAGGAGCAGAAGCTCAAGGATGACATCCGGGGCCTGCGTGAAAAGCTGACCGGGCTGGTATGCGGGGCCGGGTGGTCTGCGTGGGGTGGGATAGCCTGGCTGTCAGGCCGTGGGGACTGGAGACCTCCTGGAATGATCCCAGGGACAACCGAGTCACGGTGAGGATCTGAAATCTTCTAGGACCACAGGCAGGTGGAGGGACCTCGGCTAGCCCCTTTTGCAGACATCGTGGCTGCCTACATGGCAGTCCATGTGATACAGTGCGAAGGAAAACTTCCTGCGTGACCTGTCCAGAGGCAGGATGAGCCAATACAGGTGACGAGCTCCCCGTGCAGAGGAGTAATCAACCACAAGACTGGTTCTGTGCTCAGGCTCCTGCAGTGGGCTTCACACATCAGTCTCAGGCAGGAGATGAGAACAAGTCTACAGCAGGCCGGAGATTCTGGGAGGCTGAGATTTCTTTTCTGTTATGAATAGGAACCTGATTTCACTGAGTCCCCAGAGATGGGGGTTGCGGTAGGCAGGTATACTGGTAACAGAGGACAGGGTCATCCCCATCCCTTGGCCAGGCGCCATGGCTCACACCTGTAATCCCAACACTTGGGGAGGCTGAGGCAGGTGGATCACTTGAGATCAAGAGTTCGAGATCAGCCTGGGCAACACGGTGAAACTCCATTTCTACTAAAAATACAAAAATTGACTGGGCATGGTGGTGCGCACCTATAATCCCAGCTACACGGGAGGCGGAGGCAGAAGAATCGCTTGAACCCAAGAGGCAGAGGTTGTAATGAGCTGAGATCATGCCACTGCACTCCAGCCTGGATGACAGAGTGAAACTCTGTCTCAAAAGAAAAAAAAAAAAGGAAAAACCCATTCCATCCCCATGCTATCCTCCTGTAATCAGCATTCAGGACTCAGGAAAGCCCGTGCCTGGTCAGTGTCACAATATGGAGGACAGGGCTGAGTCTGGGAAAGCTGTCCTGAAGCCCCCTCCACCCTTCTGCCCAGCCACTGGGCTCAGCTAATGCAGAGGCGATGGAAGGAGAGCAGGGCCCAGCACTGGGGGGCTCACAGGCTGGAGGGAGGACCTCCGCCTCCCCCATACTGGGGAGCAGGCCCTTGGCACTCAGGGTTCAGGGATAAAGGGTACACTCTGGCTGCACACCCACACTGGCTGTGGGTGCTCACTGAGTCCTGCTGGTCTTCAAGTCCCGGCCTGTCTGGCCAGCAAGGGTTTGGCGCCTGCGCCCTCCGTGGTCCTCATGGTTCAACAGAAGATAAACCCCTGGGGTTGGCACGGACTGGGGAGCCTTGAGTCCCCCCAGGGGCTTCCCCAGAGCCTTGTAGGAGTGGGCAGTGCTGAGCTCAGACTCGTGCCCACGGGCACAGGTTGGTTGAGTTTCCTCCCTCCCTTCCTTCCTTCCTCCTTTTTGAAACGGGGTCTTGCTCTGTTGCCCAGCCTGGAACTGGCAGCCTCTGCCTCCTGGTAACCAGCCTCTCGCCTCATCATCTCCCCGCACCGTGTCCCCAGGAGAACTTGGGAAGGGCTTGGTGACTGGGTAGAAGCCTCTTGATTTCGGGAGGGAAGTTCTGTTGAGAGGAGGTTTGCAGGGTCAGAGCAGGCAGGACTGGCAGTGCTGAAGGATGGAGTTTGTGCAGGAGCGAGGGGGCTGGCGGGCCGTGGGGCAGGTACTGCTCTGGGTGCCACGGTCGGGGTGACTGTGGAGAGGAGGCATCTCGTAAGACAGTGAGGGGCAGTGTAAGAAGGAAAGAAGGGTGCCAGGCATGATGGCTCACACCTATAATCCCACCCCTTTGGAAGGCCAAGTTGGGAGGATGGCTTGAGGTCCGGAGTTCGAGACCAGCCTGGACCTCATAACAAGACCCCATCTCTACAAAAAATTTAAAAATTAGCCAAGTGTGGTGGCGCACCCTGTAGTCTCAGCTGCTCAGGAGGCTGAGGCAGGAGGATCACTTGAGCCCAGGAACCGGAGGCTGTACTGAGCTGTGATTACACCACTGCACTCCAGCCTGCACTATAGAGTGAGACTCAGGCTTTCTCTCTTTCTTTTTTTTTAAGATGGAGTCTCACTCTGTTGCCCAGGCTGGAGTGCAGTGGTACAATCTCTGATCGCTGCAACCTCCACCTCCTGGATTCAAGCAATTCTTGTGCCTTAGCCTCCTGAGTAGCTGGAACTACAGGTGTGTGCCACTATAGCCAGCTAATTTTTGTATTTTTAGTAGAGATGGGGTTTCACCACGTTGGCCAGGCTGGTCTCGAACTCCTGACCTCAGATGATCCACCTGTCTCGACCTCCCAGAGTGCTGCACCACGCCTGGCCTCTGTCTTTTTTTAAAAAATAAAAGGGAAGAGGGAGGAGGTCCTGGGTTTCTGATTTGGAGAATGTCAATCACCTCACAGAGGCCTGAGGAACCTCTGGGTGGTGCCCAGGCTCGGAACTCGGAGACAAAGTGGGGCTGGAAGACTTCCCTGCCCGGAGGCGAGACCCCACCAACACACACACACACACACACACACACACGCTCACGTATGTGCACGTGCATGCATGCACACACACTGATGAACTCCTCATTCTCCTGCTGCTTCCAGGACAAGGAGAAGTCCCTGTCGGATCAGAGGCGCCACTCCCTCATCGACCCGTCCTCCACACCCGAGCTCCTGCGGCTGCAGCACCAGCTGATGAGCACGGAGGACGCCCTGCGGGACGCGCTGGACCAGGCTCAGCAGGTGGAGAAGCTGATGGAGGCCATGAGGAGCTGCCCCGACAAGCCCCAGGTGAGCCGCGGACGGCAGGGCCCACCAGGAGGGGAGCCACGGGGCAGCATCCCCTGAGCCCCCGTCGGAAGGGGGAGGCAGCCTTATCTTTGAAACCCTAGTCCGAGGAGGGAGGCTGCCCTGTCCTGGGAATGCCAGTCTGAAAGCGGAGGCAGCCCTGTCCCAGGAAACCTTGTCTGAAGGTGGAGGCAGTCCTCTCCCAGGAACCCTGATCTGAAGGTGGAGGCAGCTCTGTCCCGGGAACCCCAGTGTGAAAGGGGAGACAGCCCTGCCCTCTGGGAGCCCTGTTTCAAGGGATACATGGCTTTGCCCTGAGGAGCTTAGACTAAGAAGGGAGATGCAGCCTTGCCCCAAGAGGCTTGGGATTTGGGGTGCTGGGAGCCCCGGGCTGAAGGGGTTGGAATTTGGAGTGGGAGAAGAGCCCATGGGAAGACCCCGCCATCTAGTGGGCAAACCGGGGACTGCTGCCTGGTGTGCCCAGCTCCAGCGCCATCTAGTGGGCAAACCGGGGACTGCTGCCTGGTGTGCCCAGCTCCAGCGCCATCTAGTGGGCAAACCGGGGACTGCTGCCTGGTGTGCCCAGCTCCAGTGTCTTCCTGACTCTTCCAGATCATCGGAAATTCCGGTTCTGCAAACGGCATCCACCAGCCGGACAAAGCTCAGAAACAAGAGGTGAGGCGCGCCCCGGCCCTCTCACACCCTCCGGTGCCACAGCCTCGCTAGAGAAAGTCCCTGAAACGGCCGGGCGCGGTGGCTCACGCCTGTAATCCCAGCACTTTGGGAGGCCGAGGCGGGTGGATCACGAGGTCAAGAGATCGAGACCATCCTGGTCAACATGGTGAAACCCCGTCTCTACTAAAAATACAAAAAATTAGCTGGGCATGGTGGCGCGTGCCTGTAATCCCAGCTACTCGGGAGGCTGAGGCAGGAGAATTGCCTGAACCCAGGAGGTGGAGGTTGTGGTGAGTCGAGATCGCGCCATTGCACTCTAGCCTGGGTAACAAGAGCGAAACTCCGCCTCAAAAAAAAAAAGAAAATCCCTGAAACGTCACCAAAAAAAACAGACAAAGATGCATTCAGCAAGAGGATCTACAATGGGGCCACTCAGGGAGGGCGTGGTCGCAGGCAAGCTTGATTCCAGACTCACCCTGCCCTTTTGATTGGTGTTTTCTTCCCTTTTTTTTTTTCTTTTGAGATGGAGTTTCGCTTTTGTTGCCCAGGCTGGAGTGCAGTGGTGTGATTTCGGCTCACTGCAGCCTCCATCTCCCGGGTTCAAGCAGTTCTCCTGCCTCAGCCTCCCGAGTAGCTGGGATTACAGGTCGCGCTACCACACCCGGCTACTTTTGTATTTTTAGTAGAGATGGGGTTTCACCATGTTGGCCAGGGAGGTCTCGAACTGCTGACCTTGTGATCCACCCACCTCGGCTTCCCAAAGTGCTGGGGTTATAGGCGTGAGCCATCATGCCTGGCTTTTTTTTTTTTTTTTCCCCCCCCTCTTCTTAAAAAGTTATACATTGTAACTTTTCTAAGCAGGGAATCTGTAACCCCAGCACTTTGGGAGGGTGAGCTGGGGGATCACTTGAGCCCAGGAGTTTGAGACCGGCCTGGGTAACATAGCGACACCTTCTCTCTACCAAAAAAAAATATTTAAAGAGGCTGGGTATGGTGGTGCACACCTGTAATCCCAGCTACATGGAAAGCCGAGGCAGGAGAATCACTTGAACTCGGGAGGCAGAGGTTGCAGTGAGCCAAGATCGCCCCACTGCACTGCAGCCTGGGCAACAGAGTGAGACTATGTCTCCAAAAAAAAAAAAAGAGAGAGATGTGAAACTGAGGCTTGGAGTCTCGGGTTTAAAGTCCTCTGCTCCAGCCCTGCACAGGCACTCAGGGCTCTTCGTAAAACCTGCTGCTTCCGCTCAGCTTCCCATCAGCACCTCCCACCCGCCACTTTCTCAGCCCCAAACGCACCGGGGAGGCTTTTTCTGCCTCAGGGTCTTGGCACATGCTGTTCTCTCTGTGCTGCTGTTCCCTCCTCCCCCACCCCGGCCCCACCTCCTTTCTTCCCTGACCCCACCTCTGGCCACCTGTCCCTCCAGGCTCTCAGAGACCCTTGCTGACCATGCCCTCTCTCTCTCTCTAGGATAAGCACTGACCCCAAAGGGATTCTGTGGAGCGGCCCAGTCCACACCAGAGCCCCCTGCAGCTGCCCAGTAGCACCTCCTCCAGGCAGGAGCCAGGACTGTCACTTTGGAGACAAAACAGTGTTTGTAACAATAACGTACTCACCGCCGTGGACAATCCCCCACCCTGATCCCCTGCCAGACCAGGAATTGTCCTCAAGCCCGGCCTTCCACAGAGAGTGAGAGCAGTGCAGCTCTGGCCTGACCCGGGGACCTTCGGCCCAGATGCCCAGCAGCTTCTGGAGTTTGTCGGTGAAGGCAGAAGGGATCCAGCCAGGCCCAGAAGGAGCTGCCCTGATGACCATCTTAATGCCCCTGTGCTCTTTTTCCGCCTGTTCTCCCTCGGGTCTACCCAAGGTGGGGGAGGGGGGCTCAGGTTGTCCATGCAGGCACCAAGGAGGAACGTCCAGTCTTTAAGAGTCAAATGGGAGCCCCTTTTCTGAAGCCACTTCCAGGCCAAGGCAGTCCCCAGGGCTTCTTGTCCCCACCTTCTGAACCTTCTTCAAACAATGGTACGGGTTCCCCTCAGCCAGCCTGCCTGCCCAGCGAGGCCCCCAGGTTCAAGGTGTTGGTGGGTGGGGGACAGGCTCCTCCTCCCCCCGCCCATAGACACCAACACACACACACACACACACACACACGTCTCTAAGCTGCTGGCCTAGGATGTCACCAAGGCCAGAGCCACAGTATTACAAAGGTTTGGAAGTCCCTCTCCTCACCTCCCACCGCGACCTTGGGCAAACCCTGGCTCAGAGCCCAGGTCAGGAGAGCCCGGGGTGGAGGCTCCAGGCAGGTTTGACAGAGGTCAGTAATACGGTGTCCCCTGGGGCTGAGCAGATCTCCCAAGTCATCTGTATCCACCTGTAAATGCATCTAAACGGGCCCTTATGCACACACCACATACACTCAGATGGACCACGTGTGCACACACAATTGTGTGCATGGCGCCGTGAACCATGCCCAGGCCACCACACAGAGACACATACTGGCTTCTGAGACTGAGAACCAGGCCTGGCAGGATGGTACCCGCAGACACCACAGACATTCCCACAGCTGAGAGGTGCACACACCAGGTACACACAGCCGGGCGTTCGGGGGTATGTGCCACAGAACAGCCCTTCCTGGTCTCACCAGTCACCTGCACAGCACACCTCCAGCCCCATCTCCTTGCGGGGGCTGCGGGGGAGACAAACCTAACTGTCCCATGCCCCCCAAGAAGGGCCCCCCAACCCGGACCCCGTCTTCCCCTCAAGCCTGCTAAGTTATCCCGGGCCTGTGCATGGCGGAAGAAGCCAGCCTTGGCCCTGCAGCCCCTACGTCTCTGCTGGGGGATGGACGGGTTACTTACAGCTCTGCCCGCCTCGCCACGCCACCCGGCATCAGCACAGGGGGTCCCGCCCCACCCTCCGGCAGCTCAGGGAGTGTTTTCCTGTGAGGCCTCCTCCACCAGGAGACCAGAGGGAGAAGCCCAATGCCCCATCCCGGCTTTCCCTTAAGGCACAGGACGCGTGTGCAATTCATAGGAACGGCCCAGGTCGCCCTCGTGAGCCCCGCCTGGTACAGGTAGGTGGCACTCACGCTCCTGCCCACGTGCAGCCCAAGTGGGAGTCGGAGCCAGTCCTCCGGGCCCCCCGCCAGTCCCCGTCGGCTTTCGGTAGCTCGCATGCAGTTCTATTAACAGCTGTCTAGAAGCGATTCTTTAGTGGTCTAACCCAGGGTCAAATACAGCTCTTTCCAGCCAAGTCAGGGCTCTGCCCCATCCGCAGGGGCACCGATCAGTCTACTAACAGCCAGAGATCCACTCAGCAGGGCACCGGGAGGAGCTGGGCCCCCGGGGTCGGCTCCTGGTGGTGGGTTTCCCTGGGAGCCTCTTCCTCCATGGGCCTCTCCAATCACCCAGTGTGGCCGCCCGGGGGCGGGGCTCAGCCATGTCCCATGTCCCATGTCCCTCCCCAGGTCCGTCCCACGCCCCTCCCCTCCTCAGTGGAATTGTTGAAGTGTGGCGAGTCTGTGCTCGGGACAATAAAGCTTGTGACAGGTCCAGGACCCCTGCGGTTGGCTCATCTGCTCCTCTCCGTGGGGACCCTGGGTTCCTCAGTCTCTCCCCATTCTTGGGCATCCTGATGCCCCTGATCCTGCCCTCTGCCAGCTCATTCCTTCCCAGGTAGGCACGGACTCAGAGGGGCAGGAGCTGAAGACGTCTGGGGCTCTCCTTGTCCTAGGAGAGGCACCTTAGCAAGGACAGGCCCAGGAAGGCCGCCGGAGAGGGCTGGTCCCTGTTTGGCATTTGAACCTGCTGGAGGAGTACGTAGGCCTGGGAGGAAATCGACCGAGTCAGCAGTGGATCCGCTCACACGTGTGACGATGAGTCTGATGAGGTTTCCAGCTTCACTAGGCAAATGCTGGTTCCCGCAGCAGGATTTCTGCAGACCAGATCGCCAGCACAACGTGTTGCAAACCTTGTAGTCAAACAGGCTTTGAAGCGGAGGTTGCCTCCCTGGGAGATGGAACGAGGATCTTTTTTTAAACCCCAAGACAGAGCGAACCTGTCGCCGAGGCTGGAGCAGCACGACCTCAGCACAACCTTGGCTCACTGCAGCCTCCGCCTCCCGGAGCAATTCTCCTGCCTCAGCCTCCCAAGTAGCTGAGACTACAGGTGTGAGCCACTAAAAATATAAAATAATTTTTGTATTTTTAGTAGAGACGAGGTTTCACCATGTTGGCCAGGCTGGTCTCAAACTCCTGACCTCAAGTGATCCACCTGCGTCAGGCTCCCAAAGTGCTGGGATTACAGGCGTGAGCCACCACATCAGTTCCTCAAAATACGTTTTTTTATTTTTATTTTTTGAGACGGAGTTTCGCTCTTGTTACCCAGGCTGGAGTGCGATGTCGCGATCTCGGCTCACTGCAACCGTCGCCTCCTGGGTTCAGGCAATTCTCCTGCCTCAGCCTCCTGAGTAGCTGGGATTACAGGCGTGCACCACCATGCCCAGCTAATTTTTTGTATTTTTAGTAGAGACGGGGTTTCACCATGTTGACCAGGATTGTCTCGATCTCTTGACCTCGTGATCCACCTGCCTTGGCCGTTTTTTCATTTTTTGTAGAGACAAGGGTTTCACTCTCTTTCCCAGGCTGGAATGCAGTGGTGCGATCTCAGCTCACTTCAACCTCTGCCTCCGTCTCATGCTGGGACTACAGGTGCAAGCCACCATGCCCGGCTAAATTTTTTTTTTTTTTTTTTTTGAGACAGTCTCCCTTTGTCACCAGGCGCCAGGCTGGAGTGCAGTGGCACAATCTCGTCTCACTGCAACCTCCGCCTCCCGGGTTCAAGCAATTCTCCTGCCTCAGCCTCCCGAGTAGCTGGGACTACAGGCGTGTGCCACCATGACCAGCTAATTTTTGTAGTTTTAATAGAGACGGGGTTTCACCATGTTGGCCAGGATGGTCTCGATCTCTTGACCTCGTGATCCACCTGCCTCGGCCTCCCAAAGTGCTGGGATTACAGGCTTGAGCCACTGTGCCCTGCCTTTTTTTTTTTTTTTTTTTTTTTTGTATTTTTAGTGGAGACAGAGTTTCACCATGTTGGCCAGGATGGTGAAACTCCTGACCTCAAGTGATCTGCCTGCCTTGGTCTCCCAAAGTGGTGGTGTTACAGGCATGAGCTACAGCACCAGCCTTTTTTTTTTTTTTTTTTTTTTTTTTTTTTTTTTGAGATAGGGCCTTGCTCTGTCATCCAGGGTGGAAGGCAAAGTCTCGATCTTAGCTCACTGCAGCCTCCAACTCCTGGGCTCCGGCAGTCCTCTCACCTCAGCCTCCCAAAGCGTTAGGTTTATAGGCGCGAGACATTGCGCCTGCCCAACTCTTTTTTAACTCTTTCATTCTGAGGTCATTTTAGGCTTACAGAATAATTGCAAAAAATAGTGGCATTCCCATACATTCTTTCCCAGTTCTACATAACTGCAGTACGATGACACAAACTAGAAAATGAACAGTTGGGTCGGGGTGCAGTGGCTCACGCCTGTAATCCCAGGACTTTGAGAGGCGGAGATTAGCGGATGAGGAGGTGAAGAGTTCGAGACCAGACTGACCAACATGGTGAAACCCCATCTTTACTAAAAATACAAAAACTAGCCGGGCATGGTGGCAGGTGCCTGCAGCAATTGCAGCTACTCAGGAGGATGATGCAGGAGAATAGCTTGAACCTGGGAGGTGGAGATTGCAGTAATCACGCCATTGCACTCCGGCCTGGGCAACAGAGCATGACTCCATCTGAAAAAAAGAAAGAAAATGAAATAAACATTGGGCCAGGTGGCTCATGCTTATAATCCCAGCATTTTGGGAGGCCGAGGTGGGAGGATCACTTGAACTCAGGAGTTCAAGACCAGCCTAGGCAGCATACCAAGACCTTGTCTCTTAAAAAAATTACCTAGGTGTGGTGATATGCTCTGTAGACCCAATTACTTGGGAAGCTGAGGCAGGAAGATCACGTGAGCCCAAGAGTTGGAGGCTGCAGTGAGCCCTGATCACACCACTGCACTCCAGCCTGGACAACAGAGTGAGACTCCAACTCTAAAATTAGAATATAAAATCAAAATGGGCAAAGGATCAGAATACGGGTTTCTCCAAAGAAGATACACAAATGATGAATAGACACATGAAAAGATGCTCAGCGACATTAGTCATTAGGGAAATGCAAATCAAAACCACAAAGAGACACCACTTCACACCCACTAGGATGCCTAAAACTTTAAAAAAGACAGTAGCAAGTGTTGACAAGAATGCAGAGAAATTAAAACCCTCATGTTGCTGGTGGGAATGTGAAACGGTGCAGCTGCCCCACAAAAGTCTGGCAGTTCTTTAACATATGTTTTCTTTTGTTTTTTGAGGTGGAGTCTCATGCTGTTGCCCAGGCTGGAGTGCAGTGGCACAGTCTTGGCTCACCTAAACCTCTGCCTCCCAGGTTCAAGCTATTCTCCTGCCTCAGCTTCCCGAGTAACTAGGATTACAGGCATGCGCCACCACACCCAGCTAATTTTTGTATTTTTAGTAGAGACGGGGTTTCACCATGTTGTCCAGGCTGGTCTTGAACTCCTGACCTCAAGTGATCCACCCGCCTCGGCCTCCCAAAGTGTTGGGATTACAGGCGTGAGCCACTGCACCAGTTCCTCAAAGTATGTTTTTAAATTTTTTTTTTTCTTTTTTTTTTGTAGAGACGGGTCTAAACTCCTGAGCTCAAGCAATCCTCCCGCCTTGCCCTTCCCAGAGGGCTGGGATTACAGGCATGAGTCACCATGCCCAGCCCCAAAATGTTAACCATAGACCTGCCAGAGAACCCAGAAGTTTGACTTGTCATGAAATACTCAAGAGAAAGCATTCCCACAGAAGATCGTGTCCACACGTGTTCACGGCAGCACTGCATTATTGGTACTAGCCAAAAAGTGGAAATAACACTTTGGCCAATCAGCAGACACATGGGTAAACCAAATGTGGTCTATTCATTTAATGGAACATGATAATTGCCATAAAAAGGAATGAAATTAGAATGGTCATAAAAAGGAATGAAAAAGCCAGGCGCGGTGGCTCACGCCTGTCATCCCGAGGCTGAGGTTAGCCGATCACTTGAGGTCGGGAGTTCGAGACCAGCCTGGCCAACATGGTGACACCCCGTCTCTACTAAAAATGCAAAACAATTAGCCTGGTGCGGTGGCGGGTGCCTGTAATCCCAGCTACTCGGGAGGCTGAGACAGGAGAATTGCTTGAACCCAGGAGGTGGAGGTTAGAGGGAGCTGAGATCACACCACTGCACTCCAGCCTGGGCGACAGAGCGAGACTCCATCTCAGAAAAAAAATAAAACACTGAAGAAACACGGATACTTGCTACAATATGGATGAACCCCCAAAGCCTCCTGTTAGAGGAAGGCAGCTAGACTCAGTCACATAGTGTATGATTGCACTTACGTAAAATACCCACAAAGAGAGTCCATGGAGACAGAGGCAGATTGCTGATTGCCAGAGGCCAGGGGCTAAGGAAAATTGGATATGGGGTGATGGGAATGTTTTGGACTTCACCTGAACAAGAAACAGTAAAAAACAGCAAAAAGGGCTGGGAGTGGTGGCTCACACCTGTAATCCCAGCACCTTGGGAGATCAAGGCGGGCAGATCATGAGGTCAGGAGTTCAAGACCAGCCTGGCCAACATGGTGAAACCCCGTCTCTATTAAAAACACAAAAATTAGCCGGGTGTGATGGCGGGTGCCTGTAATCCCAGTTACTCGGGAGGCTGAGGCAGGAGAATCACTTGAACTCAGGAGGCAGAGGTTGCAGTGAGCCGAGATCGTGCCATTGCGCTCCAGCCTGGGTGACAGAGGGAGACTCCATCTCAAACCAGAAAGGAAGGAAATGGTAGAGGTGGTGGTTGTATGACACCGTGATTGTACGTGTGCCACTATGCAATGATTACATTAACATTATGTGCATTTCCCCTAACTTTTTGAAAACGAAATCTGTCCTTGCCTACTAACAAGGAAACTTAAAAGAAGAAGAAAAGGCTGGGCATGGCGGCTCATGCTTGTAATCCCAGCACTTTGGGAGGCTAAGGCGGGAGGACTGCTAGAACCCAGGAGTTCAAGACCTGTCTGGGCCACGTAATGAGACCTCTCTTTACAAAATATTAAAAATTAACTGGGTCAGGCGTGATGGCTCATGCCTGTAATCCCAGCACTTTGGGAGGCTGAGGCGGGAGGACTGCTAGAACCCAGGAGTTCAAGACCTGTCTGGGCCACGTAATGAGACCTCTCTTTACAAAATATTAAAAATTAACTGGGTCAGGCGTGATGGCTCATGCCTGTAATCCCAGCACTTTGGGAGGCGGAGGCAGGTGGATCACTTGAGCTTAGGACTTTGAGACCAGCCTGGGCAACATGGTGAAACTTCATCTCTATATGAAAATATTTTTAAAAATTAGCGGGGCATGGTGGCGGGTACCTGTAATCCCAGCTACTTGGGGGGCTGAGGCACTACAGTCACTTGAACCAGGAGGCAGAGGT